TAGTAACTGTGGAGTTTAAGTGTAATACATACATGCCCACTAGGAAGCGCTGTTACTTGTTGGTATTGTTATGGACCGTAGAAGAAGAGTGCGGGCAGTAGAAAAAGAGAGTAGAAAAGAAAAGTCCGTGTGAAGCTGTATGCTGTTCATGTTATAAAAATAAACCACCTTCCTGTGGAATAAGAAGTCTCTTGTAATTTACCACACCATACCAGATATCTTTTTTTGTTCTCACTGCACCTCTTCTCTGTCCCTCCATTTCTCTGTTAATGAAAATACATAGAATGGCTATGTAGTAAGCAGTGATCAAACATTAATTACAGGATTGTTATAAATCTAATTAGATATAAGTATAAGGAGAGATTAAGGTAAATCTAGAATAAACATGTTTTGGCCTACCTGCAAGCTGGATGTGAAATTAATGTTTATTCTGTTCTGTTTCTAGTTTTCTTTCAAATTTAACGACTCTTGCAGAAAGTTCTGGCAGCTACAAAGGATTTTTTTAAACTGAAGGCAGAGAAAGGTGTACAAAGTTATTTTGGAAATACATTTTTTTTGTACAGAAAGGTTTTTGCTGTGTGATGACATAGGTACAAAAATCAAGGTTAATCTTTTCACTCATTTGAAATTTTGCACATTTTTCAAGGTATTATTCGATTTACAATTTAGTTTTTTAAGGAATGAAAATGATTGTGAATCCCAGTAAAATTTGTAAAACCAATGAAGAACTAAATTGATCAAAATCAGAAGATAACTTAAACATTGAATATCTCACAGCAAAGCCATTGAACATGCAATCTTTACCTGAAACTTGTTCATTTTGAAAATGTAAACATTTATTTGAGTATTCACAAAGTTAATATAAGGGAACGCACATTGAACAATACTACTATTCTAACCTGTCTGCTCACCATTAATAATAGTATTACAAGCATTTTAGAGGCTGTTAAATATGATTAAGTAGAGAAATCAAAATAAACTAAAACCTCTATTAGCAGGACAAAGCTTAATAAGCAGCAGAAAAAAACATAATCTCTGATAAGTAATGTAAATAAAGAATAATGATGGCATTTTTAGATTTTTACTGTCGAAACACAGAAAAAAATGGGAAAAATCTAGTAACTCAATCTGGTCTTTGAGAAAGGTGAAAACTAAACCATTTAATAAAATGTTTTGGAAATGACACACACATATTTTAAATGAGAAATGCAGTTCAAATCCCTTGAAAAAAAAACACCACAAAAACTGACCCTTAATTCAAGGTTAAAAAGAAATCTTGAATCAGATACTAACGTCAGCATCATTAGCCAGTGGCATTGTACAGCCATATTTCTTTCCTATCTCGATTCCCTACTGACTGGACATCCCTAAAAGCAATAGATAATCCGTTTTGCCCAGCCTACAGAATCTTTTTTTTCCAACTGGTTATGTCAATATATTACCCCGGGCAATAGGCCATATCACCCGTATCAAAAAATGTCACAGGGGTCAATGTTAGGTCAGATTTGTCATTGGTCAGTCACATGATGCTTAAGGCCATTGTGCACACACAACTTTAAGGGAAAACAGTTTTGGAAACTATGTGGTGTTGCAAGAGGATTTTATTTTTAATTCAACTGGATTCACAACAGATGGCGTTTTAAGTCACTTTACAAAGACAATTCAATTACATTGTACAGACAGATTGGTTGAAAGTTTTTAATATAACGATAAACTAGCTAATTCCGTAAAGTCATTGACTCTACAGGTCGATGCAATCCCTCACACCTAGCATGTAGCAACAGTGGAGAGGAAAAACTTGAGGATGAAACCTTCAACAAAACCAGGCTCAGTGTGAGCAGCCTTTTGTCATCATTGACCGAGGGTTCAAGAGGACTTCAGCAGACAAAAAACAGAACAGAGAAGCAGTTATTCATAACTATTATTTTTATTGGATAAGAAAATAAGTGGACAAAAACATTTAAGCCAATGAGTTCTGGTTCTGTTTTCATGTCAAAAAGGAAGGAGAGCACAGTAAAACCCTGTGCCCATTGCTATGTCTAGGAGAAAAACCAGGCTACACACTGAAAAACAGATCCAACTCGATCATCGATAAATTGCATTTATTAGCAGCAGCCCAGCTGCTGTCTCCCTTCAGGATGAAGTCACGGCCAAACAGAACACAAAGCCAGAAGATGAGAAAAAGCAGAGAGAAAAGAAAGTTAGAATTGGACTTAACAACTAATGCAGAATGGAGAGAAGAAACAGAATGAAGCAGAGTGAAGAAAAGTTTTCTCGATGTATTCCAGCAGCCTACACCTATAGCAGCATGGTTAACTTTTTATGTTAGGGGAGTTTTCAGTGTTCATAAGCAGCAAAGTAACTGTCGCCCATCCAGTTTTACTGCTGACGAAATGCTGATTTTGCGATGCTGTGGTTATTTTTGCCCCCAGTGATTCTGGTCATGGATGTCCCTCATGGATGCAATTTTGCCCGATTTACATATTACTGCTGCTGAATGAACACCGGCCTTAACAGGGTCAAATGAGACCGGCAGTGTTTAAGATATTATTCTTGTAATGCATACATAGAGCAGGGTTTCTTAATCCTGGTCCTCAGGGCCCACTGTTTGAGGTGATTCCCTGCCTCCATACACCTGATCTGAATGAAAAGGTGATCAGCAGGCTTTTGCTGTATTTGATAGCTGCAAAAGAAGGTAATGCAATCATTTGAATTGGGTATGCTTGAGTTGAGACACATTCTTAAGACAAAGGACAATGGGCTCCGAGAACCAGGGTTAAAAAAACCTGGCCTAGATGAATATTTGTTGGCTAGCAGCTTCCTGGAAGGTTCACTACTGTTCCATGTTATCATTATTAATGGGCATTGGTTCTTACATTAGTTCACTTTATTCCTAAACCTAAAAATGTCAGGCTCAGGTCAAAATGACCCAGTTTTCGAGACAGGGAGACATTTAGGTTAAAAAAAAAATTTTTAAGCGGAACTGCAAAGAACAACATTGGCATTTAAGTTAGGAACTTCTGCAGGAAGAGAACACAGGTTAGTAAACACATCTGGCGGAGGATGATACAGAACATGTGAGTCACTAACCTGGTCTTAAACATCACTCCATGCCCAGGGGATGAGGTTGGTTCCAGCCGGTTGGCTGCCAACAAGTCGTAGCAGGCACCACCCAGAGAGTTCCTGAAAATGAAGTCCTAGAGGTCGGAGGACAGGTCAGGTAAACAGATCAGAACCAGAACAGGCAGGCTCAGAGCTCCAAAGGCAGAACGGGTCAGAATAAGGCAATCAGAAACAATCAGGAACGCAACAGAACTCTCACCAAAGGCTTGAATAATCTGGCACTGATTACTGGTTGAAGGCGGGTTAAATAGAGTCTGAAGCAGGTGGATAAGATGAATGTTAATGACAACTGGGCGGATCTAGGCAGGTAAATGAAATGAAATTAAATCAAGCCACTCATTAGTACTATGATCATGACGAGAAATAATTTTACAACTCATCCTAGACCAGTTAATGTCATTGACTTAATTTCTTACCTTTTTTAGTAGATGCCTAGATTACTTTTTTGCTTAACCAACTTCTTTTTGAGATCTGTAAATATATCAGTTAGTATATACAGCTAATTTATAAATCAAAAAAGGTGCAAAGTATTTTTTTAGACTCTAAAGAAAGCATACATTTATAGTCTGTTTTTATTAAGGTTATCTTTGTCTGTCAGGTAGTTTCACATGTAAATTCTTCAATTTACATGTGAAAATAACATAATTGATTAGAGATTTGTTTCTAGGTGCTAGGAATCCAAAGTGTTTTTAACATAATCGCATTATGAATTAGCTATCTATTTTGAGTAGCATATCTTACACTGATTAGAGGATTTATATATTATTAACTGCCATTCATCTTCATATGTATTATTCATTTCCATTGAGGCCCTCAGGGTCTAAAGTTTAGTGACCTAAAACCTCATTATGTGTCTCAAGGCAAACAGTGAAGCAGCTTCCCACTTTGACAGAGTTCTTCCCTCTAGTGAGAGTTTGTAGCGGGTCAGTCCCAACATGGGAGCTGATGACAATGCTGGTAATGACGATGATGACGTCCAAAAATGCTTCGGCATGTGTGTGTATGTGCTGTAGATATTAGAAAGAATCTGAATGTATAGGAGTGTCTGAGATGTCATATACATGAAGCCGCCCCTTTTTCACTGACCCTGCGTGAAAAATAAAATTGCTTGGCTATATTTGGAGACAGCTGATGTCACAAGTGGTTGAGCAGAGAGCTTATAAACTGTGACTGCCTGATAAACCATCGGACTGCTCCACAGACAGACAGGGACCAAACGCAACACAGAGTGAGTACCTCACAGCTCATGCATCTTATTTTCTCTGCTTTTTTTTTTTTAGAACTGGCTGCAAGTTTGGACTTTGGTGGATTCTTATTTGATTTTTGGTGCAACAGTTTTATTATATCTGTTTCTCTGTTTTCGAGATATTCCATACAGAAAAAACTGTACTAAGCAGAAATTCCATCTTAAATCAAATCAGTTTCATATAAAGATGCTCTATAATGTTTTTTACATATTGAAAAACAAAAATGCTGGAATGTTTTGACAAGTAGAGGCTCAAACAGAATTCATTGAATAAGATTTTGAATTTAATGAATTATTAAAACTCAAATATATAATCTATAATCTGTCTTTGTATATTTTTATTTTTAAACTGTAATTATAATTCTTATCATTATGTTTGACTCTTCAATTTTTATATATTTTTTTTACCAATCTGCATACTGCACAGTGGAAACTATTTTTACAAACGTGTTTTTTGGGATCTGATAAAGCATCTATAGATTTTCAGAACATCTAAAAAAGCCTCTGAGGAGGAAACTGTGCTGAAGTAACATTTATCTATTTTTATTTTACTGTGAATCCTAATAGTAACCCACTTGGAAAGGGTAAAGGAATTCTAACATAGTTCCAAACCCTTGTTTTTCTGCAGGAAGTCATCAACATCATAAGCGCTATGTATCACCTGAGGGTGCCGGTGTTTCTCCTCACGGCGCTTGTATTGCTCCGCTGCATCGCCACCGCTCCGACCCACAGGTGAGCAGCTACAGCAGAGAAATGAGCTGGAGAATAAACAGGTGGCAATGAAAGGCAGTGATGGTTTAAATGTTGATCAAATTAAAATAAATCATCATCGTTAAAACATGGATTAGTTGTAAATTTGCCAATTTGTGGACGGCTCTCCTAACTGTGTAACTGTGGAGCTGAAGGAAAGTCATATACCTCTCTGAGAAAGCTCTTCATTGTGCAACACTAAGATGGATGGCTAAGTGGCCACTTTCTCCTCTCTCTCTGAACTTGTGTAGTTTAAAGAGGGTGTCATCAGCGTGAGGTACTTTGACCCTTTCCCATCTAAAATCCAGGTACTTCAGTCCCAGCTCCTCCTCCGATGACGAACAGGAGAGAGCCCTTCCAGACAACGAGAGCTGGTCACTGCCTGAGCTGATCTCCGACCGGTTTCTTGGCCTCATTGGTGTCAGGCCACAGAGGGGGCTCTCAGCAGCAAATAGGTACGCAGTCATGAAGCCCTCACTTGTTAAGAAGCTTTCCACTTAAGTATTAACACGATATTTGATTATTTTCAGTCATCACTTACAGAAGAGAAAATGCAACACGGCCACCTGTGTGACCCAGAGGTTAGCAGACTTTCTGGTCCGGTCCAGTAACACAATCGGAGCGGTCTACGTCCCGACTAACGTGGGATCCAGCACCTACGGCAAGAGGGACCTGCAGCAGCCCCCCAGCTACCTTCCCTTCTGATACAAACTGGGAAAGTAGCACAGTATGCCTAGAGATAAAATGATCTTACGTAACAATGAATGTGAAATGATGACTCTGATGATAAATTACAACATAAGAATATTTTTATCATTATTTTATATACATCAAAAAACAGTGCCTTTGATTTAAGCCATCTGAATTGATGTATTTTCTCTTCCAGCTTTGTGAACATTGTAAATCATCTCCCACATGCAGCACTAATGAAATGGAAAAAAAAAAAAGGTACACAGAAATAAAGTAAATACAAAATATTCAAGGACACAGAGGAAATGAAAATCCCTTTAATATAAATCAGCTGTGATTTTTTTTTATAATAAAAGTGTTGAAATTTATGTTTGTATGTTTTCATGGGTTTTAAGATGGGTTCTCGGACACCAGGGAAGCAGCACAGGATTCCTACTAAACCGATCAAAGCATATCCCTTTAAACTTGCCCATTGTTTGAGGAAGATTTGAAGCATTTCTCTGTAGGTAACGTCAAAGACAATAAATCGAGTTTATTTAACGTTGCCATTGGCAACCTTTAAGAAGTGCATTGCTTCCTATGACACAGAGTTGCACCCCTATGGTATGTAGATATTAACCTTATCCCCAATGAACAAGCTGTGAAGAGGTCTATAGAATATTAATGCAACTTGAACTTTTCCACATATATCCACTTTACACTATTTCCATTAAGGTAAATGTTTTACAATGATTTTAATTGGAGTAGTGGTGCCCAAGTCGTGTCCTTCAACCTTTAGATGCATTCCTTCTCTGACACACTTGAATCAAAGGCTGAATTATCTCATCACTCTACAATTCAGCTCTTGAGAGGCCTGGTGTGTTAGAAAAAGGAGTGGATTTATACATTACAGGATGATAGTCCTTGAATACTGGATCTTCTGTGCTGGATATATGCATAAAGGGAGGGCACGGTCAAAGGATGTCAACAGGAAGACTTGGTCTAGCACTCTCCATATGCAAAGATGTAAAGAGGAAGCCGCTGCTTAAAGACAGCCTAGGAAACCTCACATGCAGGCTGCTTCATTTGCAAAACGTGGGAGAAGGTGATCCGGTCAGATGTGACCTCAAATGTGTGTTGAAAAAAAACAAAAACATATTACATCTCTCTTTACATACCATCCACCTGATGGTAACAGTTACTTACACACGTACATAAACCTCATGAAGATCCTAAAAAAAAACTAATTTTATTTAGATTTTATATGCAAAGCAGCCAATAACTGAGGTGGGAGGAAAATGCCTTTTTAAATGTAATGGCAGCATCATGCTGTAGCGGAGAAGAGTAAAATAGATGAAGCTAAATGCAGGGCAACCCTAGGAGAGAGGATAGCAGAGGCTGCAAGTTATATAAAATTGGGGAAGAGGTTATTTTTCAGGACAAATCACTTTGTGATGTAAGAATGTCCCAGCCTACGCCTGAAAGTAAATTCAATTAAACTTTCTTTTAACACTTAAAAAGTGATGTTTGCATGCACTCTACATTAAACTATAATGAGCTCAAGCCATTTTGCATTTAAGGATGAACAAAAACATTCAAAAGTATCAAGAATTGCGGAGGCATATCCAAATGCCTTCCAGCAATGATTGCAAGAAAATGTTGTCTTATATGCTAATGTAAATTATAATTAATGTTGTTTTTTCAAATTCTATGTGTTGATCTATCACATAGCAACCAATTATAGGAAAATGTCATTTGTGGTTGTAAGGTGACAACATGAGAAAAGGTTTTGCCCAGAGCTGTGGGTGAATTACTGATTAACAGTATTGATTGAGTCAAGATATAAGACTGAAAAGTACCAAGACTGCCTTTGTAATTGCATGATTTTTTTAAATAAAAACATTTTTTTTTTATTACCCATATTTTCAGTATTTGATCCAGGGGATTTTTGTTATTTTATATCACTCAACTTGTCTCTATTTAACTGTGTCTGTTTCCTAGACATGACCCATGGATAGATCATTGCTGTCTTTATGATGAGGGGCTCTATTTATCATCTTTCTGTGAAAAGTACACATCGCAGCAGTACACTAGTGTTTAGCCGTGTTTCATTTCTGTCCATTAATTATTATGTTGCTAAAGGGGTCTTTTTCCACTTTTTATTTTTTTTACATAAAAATAGCCTCTTGACTATTATGGTTAGACCTTACAGACCTCAGTCAGTCCAGGTTGCACAGAACACCTCTGATGTCATCATCCTAAGCACAGGCTCCTGAGCCCTCTGCTGTTCACCCTGATGACACATGACTGCGTCTCCAGGTTCACCACCAATTACATTGTGAAGTTCACAGACGACACCACCGTCGTGGGCCAGGACTACAGAGAGGAGGTGGAGCAGCTGGTGGTGGACTGGTGCAGAGATAACAGCCTGATGCTGAACGTGGAGAAGACGAAGGAGATCATCTTGGACTTCAGGAAGAACCAGCCTTACCATGCTTCACTGGTCATCAACAGCTGTAGAGGTGGTCAACAGTACCAAATTCCTGGGGGTACAGGTCCCAGACACCCTCACCTCGACTGTAAACACCACCTCACTGGTCAAAAGGGCACAAAAACGCATGTACTTCCTGTGTAGGATGAGGAGAGCCCACCTGCCCCCACCCATCCTCACCATCTTCTACAGAAGCACCATAGAGAGCGTTCTGACCAGCTGTCTCACTGTGTTGTGGAGACTGCAACACCGCTGACTGGAAGAACTGCAGAGAAGTTCATCAGAGCTCCTCCACCATGGACTGTTCTCCCTGCTGCCCTCTGGGAAGAGGCTTCGAAGCATCCGATGCAGGTCCAGCAGATTCCAAAACAGCTTCTTCCCCACTGCCATTATACTGTTGAATGTTGAATAAGACTGAAAAAAAAAGCTGAATGTTGGAAAAACTGTAAATCATATCTCAGTCCTATGTTTACATTTGATCACTGCTGCACTTTAAGAAAAGTAAATGTCTTGAGAGCTCTACAGAATTACATTTCTTTTTGTATACACCCTGTGTTTACAAGATGAGAACAAAGTTTGTCTAAGTCTAAGTTTAGCTGTGTCTGTCACCTGGTCCAAGTAACCAATGGAACCATCCCTTTCAATGAGATTTTTTAGATTGTTTTCATGAATAGCAGTGTCATCTGGAAAGAGCCATTGCTGAGCCATTGCTACCAATAGATTTCTGTAATCTATGTTTTTTTTAACAATGCCCCAACTTTTTGTTCACCACATACCAACATAAATAGTTCTTCAAGATAATGCAAAGTTAAATTTAACACAGGTGCCATTGAAAATTTAGCATAAGTATAAGTTATCATCCAGAATTGTAGAAAAATGCTCCTTTTATAGGCTAGTGCAGTAGAGGCATTTGTCCTTAACATTTTTCTCTGCATTACTTTTACTTTTATACTTTAAGTAGATTTAAAAAATGGTACTTTTACACTTTTACTTGAGTAAAAAGCTTAAGTTGATGCTCTAACTTTTATAAAAGTGTTTGTATATGTATAAGAGACATGTATAATGTCTAAGTAGGATTTATACATCTACTTGCGTAATAAATATATAATAAAACTTTTGACACCTCTGGTTGCACCATAGTGAACCATATCAGGCTTTGTGTCTTCCGTGGTACATTTAATAATATGCAATATTCTACTAAGTTGTTTTTTATTCTACTTGAACTAATTTTGATTTTCTTTTTGATTTTATATACTCTAATAATCCCAGAGGGAAATTACTTCTCTCAATATATATACTTTCTGTAGCAGTAAATTGTTAAATTGTTAAATTGGCAACACTTCTTGTGTTTGCACTTCTATGAGAGCTTTTGCTATAAATCTAAAAGTGACTAATTCTATATAATGTAATATATTATTTCAACAATGAATGCGAAAAATGAATTTGAATAAAATGCACAATGCTTTCAATTATGATCAAGAGTCCTATAAATCATTTAAGCCCACTTTTCCTCGTTTTCACTCGAAAGTCATGTGGTATGCAGTGAATGCATCTAGTGCTTGTTAGTCATTGTTTACCCACATTAACTTTAATGGCACAACTGTAATCACAATATTGTATCCCATGCAGTCATGTGTCGTCCTCCTGCGGTGCTTACTCAAGGTAATGAAAATCAAGAGCAGAACTGTGACGCACAGCATCAACCCCTGTTTGATTAGCAGTGACCCGATCATCTCAGACGCTGACACCTATACCCCCCCGCATAGCTAACACCAGAGTAAATGGCTTTTCAAAAATAGAACAAGTGGTGGCTTTCCTGATGAGTCCAAAAAACAATGCAGCCATTATGTGATAAACACTCTCCCGACAGAACGGGGATCATGTCAAGATCTGTCGATTACTTCATATGAGGCCTGCAAATGGCTCTGTGCCTCGTTTGTTGCCTGGTTGTTTATCATGACAGTGTTTATGGCTGATGAATGCTTTGATGGAACTATAGCTCAGATATTAGAGCTCATTTATTGAAAACAATGATCTTTAACTTTCCCTACCCTAACACCTACCCAGCTTTGAAAAAGCAACTAGCTCATTAACTCCGTTTGAAAAGAGTAGTTTAAAGAAAGTATAAGTATTCCGCCCCATTACACAGTTGCTCCTCAATTAAATCAAAAACCAACATAACATTACCCCTAAACATTACATTACTGCTCTTAAACATGGTGATGCTACCATCATAATGCAGTGTTGTTGTTTTTTCAGACTCTGAGTTCAAAGTGATATACCACAAAATGACTGCAGCTGGAATTGCAACAAGATTGCTCTTAAAAGTGATGCCATAAGTGAGCCGGATGCAAATGTACTTCACGCTTTTCAAACTTAAATTAAGAAAAGAAAGTTTTCCATAATTTAATTTATTTTTTGCAACTTTTGACTCCTTTGTGTTCCCTATCTTTATAAACCCTGCTCAAACACTTTGAATTATGAGGATACAACATAATAGTATGAGAAATAGTTGAGAAATAGTAGATCTATTTACTTTAAAGCCAGGTGTCTTTTTAGAATATTACAGAATCCTTTATTGATTTTTTATTCTCCAGATACAAAGTAATATATTGTAAAACACTCTACAGTACAGTTCTTTATTTGTTTATTTTCCTATCTGTTATTTTTATACACTTTTCTAATTTCCATATTGTGTGACCACTTTCTGCTGCTGTAACATCACAATTTATCATTATGTTACAATACAGGGATTTTCTATTCTATTCTATTCTAAACAACAATTTTAAATTTGCCCTTGTTTTCTTATCATTTTGAGTGATATTTCTTCACACACTTAGGTGTGTGAACAGTTTGCAGAGCTGGACTCAACCACTGGAAACACTGGTTTAATCCATTTACCTGAATTAGAGAATTGGGATTTGGAACATCAGTATGTAACATTTAAAAGATAAGTAAGAATAATGAAACTGATATAAGATCCACAGTCAGGGTCCTCAAACAGGACAGCGGTGTATGAGCAGCAAATCTCTAGCACATGGCTAAAAATGCATAAGAATGTACACTGAAATGTAGTTTCAGAATGTAGATGAGACAATGCATGCACAAATATTGGTAAACCTAGAATAAATGAAATACTGTAACAAGAACAACCCAAAACATTCTGATCTGAATAAAAAAAAAATGTAAAACAATCAAATGGACTTTGTTTCCAAGTTGACACACATTGCTGCAACATCTTCTGCTATAACTTTGTTAATTTTCCATCTGTGTGCAATAGCTCATTTGATGGTTTTGGTTGTTTTGTTTTACTTTTTTTTTTTTAAATGATGAGTACATAAGTTACCTTACTCTCCCAATGTCAATGCTCTGTGTGACTTGTATAAAACATATACAAGAGACATTTTAGACTGGAATAGAGAAATCTATAACAATAATATAAGAAAAAGTAAAAAATTAATTCACAAACAAATGGTTCACACAAAAAACAAACAAACAAAAAACAATGTGACAGATTTGAATTGTCATATTCATCACTAATTTGATTTGCAATTAGGTTCTGATTATTTTGGGGGTTTTTTGTATATAATTTTAGAAATATATGGGTGTTTTTGTGTCTGTGGGCTTTTTTTGCTGTTAACTGTAGTAATTTAAACGATTGTAGCGCCATCTACTGGACAGAAGATGTAAACTACAAATTTTCACTAGTCATGCGTTCCCTCTAAATATTAAAACTAAGATACTTCAAAATAATAAGTTACATGAATTATGTACATTAGCTATACATGCATTACTGTTTATTTATATGTGAGACAGCTGTCAACTCTCCCATGTTTCACCCGCCTTTCCAGCCGTCCTTCCATAGCAGTTTCCCGTATATTTTCCGTACTGTCGTACAACAAAGTTATTTGTGATTATTTTATTTTATAGGTAATTATCAAATTAACTAGACAGTGAACAATTAAAAGGGTTAAATTTAGAATATGGGAGTGGTAGATGAATTACAGGGAGAGAAAAAAATTCCTTAAATCTGCAGATTGATTTTCTGATACGGATATAGCATGATTTATATAATTGTCAAAATCTGATCATTTATTTTAGTTTGTAGTTGGTTGAAAGTGTTTATTTTAGATTACTTAAGCACTTGTCTAAAAATATAATAGATATTGGAGTTTGGCTGGGATTGTCGGATGACTTGCAAAGCATGCAGTAAAATTTCCCTTTTTATTATTATTATTTCTTTTACTTTATTTTTTATTTTTTGAACAATATGAACAATTGTGCAGTATCGCAAGGCATACAAATATATGAAGAAATCAAGTCTTGAAGGCTTAAGGCAACATATACTTAGACAGCAAAAAACAAATAAAAAAAACAAATAAAAAATAATAATTATTATTATTATTATTATTATTATTATTATTATTATTATACAATTTGTCAGACAGCAAACAGGGATTCAAATCTAAAACATGAAAGGTAAAATTTGAGCTAAAGTAAACCTGACTCGTTTCTCATTAACAAAAAACTTGCTGCTTGCCGTAGAAATGTAAATACGGAAGTGACGTAAAACAATTGCTAAAACAAGCTCTCTCGCGGTGCTGTATTTCCTATTTTAAGACCTAGGTTTGGCTTTATAGTCATCTTATAGCTTATTTGTTTTGGGTGGATGGAAAAAGCTGTCTGTGGTCTTTAAGAAATGTTGTTTTAAAGCGCTGGTTCTGTTAGCTTGCTAGCTACTCGAGTCATGGGGAGTGAAAATGAGAAGACTTTTAAGTTTGTGATTGTTGGAGGCGGCATTGCGGGTGTGACATGTGTGGAGCAGGTAAAAACAAACAGCTAAAGAGCTATTTAAATTGTTTTGGGCTCTTTACGATACTCGGTAAAACATTAGATCAAATTGTAAATTATCTCGGCTCAATAGATGTAGACAGTTGCTCACACCAAATAAAGAAATTTGAGCTTGATTATTTCACACTACTTGATACTTTATAGGCTTTTTCCTCATCTTGTTAGTTTGAAATTTAAAAAATACTATACTATAAAATAATCAACGTCACGTGACATAAACAACACATCTCAATGATCATAAAGTGCTTTAAAGGAAATTGAGATTTCCACAGTATAACCATCTGACATAAAATCATGGTCTCATGAGATATGCAACAACTTTTTTTATGTATAGTATGATTTTATTTACAACCAGAAAAAAAAGCTTTTCAAACATATTTTTTATGTATTTATTTATTATTTCAGCCTTGATATAAATACCTTAATCCTGGTGACCAATCACTAGGTAGAGCAAAATAATTGAGCTCATATTTGATCAATCTCAGTATATTAGTATGGAGCCAGTGTCGCCATAGTTTTATTGAAGCTGTAAAAATGCCCTTTATTCCACATTAGCCTTATCCATTGAATCCACTTTTCCTCCTTAACATATAAATGTATCTCCTCTGGCAGCTTTCGTCTCAGTTTCCATCAGAGGATGTGGCTCTGATCACAGCTGGTCCCCACATAAAAGCAGTGACCAACTATAAACAGGTAGGTAGCAGAACTATGGAGGTTTTTAGACTCCAGCTGAGAAGAGATTCATCTTTATGCCCATCTTTTTCCCTTTAAATAGGTGTCCAGAACACTGGAGAAGTTTGATGTGGAAGAGAAGCCATTCAGTGTTTTACAGGAGAAGTTTCCTAACCTGACTGTTATCCATTCTGCTGTGAAATCACTGGACACACGTTCACATGTAAGGAGTAAACTAGACCTAATAAATGAGTAAATACCTGATCTTTGCTTTTTTTCCTCATGATTTGTTAATTATTTCAAATTTCCTCCAGACTGAAGATTGGTCTGATCATTATCAGCCTATTTACAGAGGTTACATCTTAGTCCAGAACTGGATTAATATCCCGTGGATTTTCTTGTGTCTTTCAGTGTTTGGAAACTGCAGATGGTCGAGTGTTTGGCTATAAGAAGCTTTGTATATGCAGCGGTGCCCGTCCAAAGCTCCTGACTCAGGAGAATCCTTATGTGCTGGGAATCCGGGACACAGACAGCGCACAGGTGCTACCTAATAGCAACTGCTTCTATTTTCTCTATTTGATCAAATGTATATGTTTGTGTGGTTTTTGCTGCATTTGTTCCCAATCATCTCTGTCTGAATTGTTTACATCTATCACTATAAGTATTATTAAAGAAAAAAGCAGATCCTTTAAAGAATTAAATATGTCTAAGCAGTAGGTTTTGAAAAGATAATGTGATGATAATTTGAGGTTTTATAACATGCTAGATGCCTTTCTGTTTGGCGTTGCAGGAGTTTCAAAAACAGTTATCCAAAGCTAAGAGGATTGTTGTCATTGGAAACGGAGGCATCGCCTTAGAATTAGTGTAAGTCCAGTCCTTGTTTTATCTTGCAACTATTGCCTACATTTATTCGGTAATAACAATTAGGTGGTGTTTAGGTATGAGGTGAGGGGCTGTGAAGTGATCTGGGCTGTGAAGGATAAAGCCATCGGAAACACCTTCTTCGATGCCGGGGCGGCGCAGTTCCTCATCCCGTCACTCGAGGCCGACAAAGCAGAGGTGGCTGCTCCGTGCAAGAGGCAGCGCTACACCACAGAGGAACCAAACCCTAATGCTGCTCATACCTTCACCGCAGGTTCTTACCGTAGGATACCCCTTTACAGGCTTTAGCACTAGTGGACTTCACTATTACACAGCCTTCACTCTGTAAATCAATGCAAATGTGGTAAATGGGTGTTAGACGCTGAACTGAATGGCAGTGGGTGCATTTTACCCTTGCTTGCATTCGTCTCTCCTCCACACAGGTTTATATGTGTAAGATTGTGTAAGATTGAGCTGCAGACGCACAAAAACAGCCTTCTTTTTAAAGTAAACAAATATTTCAATTCACGATGAGATTTTTTTTTATTTTTCTGTTGCATCTGAATTCCAGATGAATATTCCCGTGGGCAGAAGCCTGGAGGTGTTCAGCCTGGTAGTGCTCTCGGCCCAGACTGGCATCGAGGAATGGAGCTGAAAGGAGCAGAGCAGGTTGGCCACTGCTTCTAACACAGAGCTCATCCTGAGACCCTCTTGTTGATTTTCATATATCCCCTCCCTTTCTCTGTCTCTGATCAGGTGTCCCGCCGCGTTTCAGTGGAATACCAGTGTGAAGTGGCACAGATTTTAACCTCAGAGGAGTTCCTCGTCTCCTCAAAGCAAACACTAAAACCTGACACTGGTGGGAACTCAATATGCTGCATTCTTCTTTTGTTTTCTTTTTTGTTCCCCTTCTACTCACACCCGCTTTTCTTCACTCTCTCATCAGGACGCTGGCCGGTTTACGTCCAGCTGACGAACGGCAAGACGTTAGGCTGCGATTTTGTGGTCAGCGCCACCGGGGTCGTTCCAAACACGGAGCCTTTTCTCCACGGCAACAACGTGAGAAAATCTTAGGTCTGAGATCTTGAAGTTTCCTCTGGCCGTTTCTCAATTCAAACTTGTGTCCTCGCCAAGTATGTTCTTGAGAAGAACAGAGGAAAGTCTGTACTTGGTGAGAACGGAACGTATGGCAGGCCATTTAGACATTTATTAGAAGCGCTATCCTCTCAGTTGTTCCATTTACTGATCTCTAAAATAAGATTCTTCCTAGTCAAAACTGCATTCCTACTAGCCATAAATGTACATATAGATATCCTAAAATACATTTTCCTAGCAAAAATTACATTTCTGGCTGCCAAAAATAAAATTGTACTGGTAAGAATAAACTTTCAAATACCTAGATATCTTTACAAACTTTTTTGACTGAAAATTTACTTCAGATGTCCCAAATGCATTTTATCCTAGTCAAAATGAACATTTCAGATATCTAAAATAACATTCTTCCTATCTAAAAATGAATTCTGACGTGGATGAATTCTAATTTCAGATCTCCATATTAGAGTTACTGCTAGTCAAAATTACTATTTCAGATATCAAAAATGAATATAACATTACAGATATCCAGAAATCCAATTCTTGACATCTAAAATATATTTCTAAAAGTAGAAATATAATTACAGATATCAACTATTGATATATGACTAGTTAAATTGGAATTTCAGATATCTAAATTTTAGTAATACCTATCCAAAATGCAGTTTTAGATACTTAAAAACATTAATTAATTATGAGCAGTAACAATCTTGTGAATTGGAACAGTACCAGAGAGGAGGTTGATGACGTTTTACGAGTATACAAATGTACGAGAACGCAAAAGTACTATATATTGAGAAACGGCCTCTATGGAAGCTGAACACAGCAGTAGATGATTGATAAATAACTTCAGTGTTTCACTTTGATTCAACATTTAGTCCTATAATTGTTTAAAGGTGGAGTTTATTCATTTGCAATGCTGATAAGTCTAAATCTACTCCTAGTAACAATAATATTAAAGATTTTTCATTAGAAGAGGGGGGGAGTAAACGCTTAGAATGTTTTTAAAGCAGCAGTGCAGCAAATTTATTTCTTTTTTTAAGAATGTTCAAAATCTATGCTTTAAGTCTGTTATCGCGGACAAGTAAAACCATTTTTTCAGACAACCTATGCAGTCAGATTATTCAGGTTTATGCAAAAGAAATAAATCATATGTGAAAGAGGTGCTTTCAAACAAAACAACTTTACCCTCTGTCAGGCATGGGGGAGGCAGCATCATGGTTTGGGTCTGTGGAGTTATAAAGAGGGAATACCTACTTTATTTTCATTGCTAGTAAACTTCTTCTCTCATCAATTTGCTTCTGATGTTGGTGACAATCAGGATCCTATTTTTGTGATTTTTTTTCTCTTTAGTTTTCGTTGGCAGACGATTGTGGCCTTCAGGTAAACGATCATTTGATGACTTCAGAGCCAGATGTGTACGCCGCAGGAGATGTGTGCACTGCATGCTGGGAGCACAGCCCGCTTTGGCAGCAGGTAATAACCACCGAAGGGTTTGTTAGCATAAACAATAGATAATCCAAGACAACAGTGTGTTGATGGTGGGTGTGCGTTTTCAGATGCGCCTGTGGACGCAGGCTCGTCAGATGGGCTGGTACGCAGGCCGCTGCATGGCGGCCGATGTCCTCTCTGAGCCGATCGAGCTGGACTTCTGCTTCGAACTCTTCTCACATGTCACCAAATTCTTTAACTACAAGGTGAGCAACTCCATGCAGCAGGATTAACCAATAATTAACCATCTAGCATGAGCTGAACTTCAGATTCCAATTCTTGGGAAGACCCTTGAAGGAAGCATTTCAGAGTAATATATTATTTCTCCTCATTTCCCAGGTAGTCCTGCTGGGAAAGTTTAATGCCCAAGGCTTGGGGTCTGATCATGAGCTGCTAGTTCGCTGCACCAAAGGCCAGGAGTATATCAAGGTCAATAATACTGTTTAGAATATTGATGCATTAATTCTCTCACTTTTTTTTGTGGCGAAGCTTTATTGATTTTTGCTTTGCGAGGGGGTTTGGTTAAGGATCAAGATCTGGGCAACTGCAATGAACAACAAAATCTGTCTAACAACATTGTTAAGAAAGAAGAAATATGATTTTTTTAGCTTGTAAATATAGTTTTTCACATTACAACCACAAACTGCATGGTAAGTCTCACGGTTATAGGTATTTTAATAGATTGCTCTCTTAATTTTCCTGTCTAGGTGGTTCTCAGCAGGGGTAGGATGGTGGGTGCGGTGCTGATCGGAGAAACTGACTTAGAGGAGACTTTTGAAAACTTGATCCTCAACCAGATGGACCTGACAGCGTACGGAGAGGAGCTGCTTAATCCCAACATAGATATCGAGGACTACTTTGATTAACGGCTTCTGACGTTTCTGAGACCTGTTCTGAAGAAGCATGCGGGTCTTCTCTGCTGTCTGGAGAAGATTTGATTTTCTTCCAAGTCTGGAAGGAATGAAGGATTCGGAAATTTTATTGTCAAGAAGATAAAAATCTGTATTTCAAAAAAAAAAAATCCTTTTACAGTGATTATCATCGACTGTTTGGGTGGTTTCTTTTTGAAAAGAAAAATGCAGTTAATAAAAACCTAGTATTATTCGATTGAGAAAAAAAGTTAATCCCAAAAGATTTAGATTTACGACAAAGAAAAATAGTCTGAGCCCCTGAGATATGACAGTACAGGCGATGCCTCGGAGGGTTTTTTTGTTCAGAGAATTTTGTTTGTATCAGTGCAAATTTATTTTTGTGCTGTCATTATCTAAAAAAATAAACTATGTTCAGAAACACCCAAAATTATTTCACCTTTTATTGTAAATTTATGCATATTTGTTATTTACAAGTCATAGCATTTTTTTTTTCTTTTCTTATAGCTGCTACTTTAAATTCGTATGTTTCAGGGTTTTTTGCTGTGGCTGAAATTACAAATATTAAAGATGGATATTTGCAAATTAAAAAGAGACATGTAATCTAATTAATTTTCACCAAGTCCCCCTGCTAAACTGAAATTAAGAGATTCTCCTTCCACATTTCACCAAAATTCCCCATTTAAGCTAGTTTTCAGTCTTTGTACACTCACACAATAGAGTAGGATAGAAAAGTATACAATAAAAGCAAAAATGGACAGATGTGATTAAACTTCAGCTCTTATGTATTGATAGAGAATGCATCCCCTAAGAATGCTAACCAAATAAGCATAGTGTTGGCAGCATCATTCTTAGGGAATCCTATTAAAATGAAAGAAATCCCAGGTTTAAACAGAGAAAATGTTAGATTGTAACTGAGTAAAAGGTTATTTTCCATTTATTGATACATAGATTTTTTTAATCACTTTGTTGTCTCAATTACAAATTCAAACCCACATTTAAAAAAATATGAAAAGTGTTGACGCCTTTATTTAAGAATCTGGTAATACTAAGAGCCAGAAACAGAATCCAAATCCCATATTAAACAGCACCTTAGTATAATCTGATGGATAACTCTTTAAACTGCAGTTCCAAAACCCTTTATATAATCTGATTATTCTTTCATTTGTTCTCCTCTTTAAGCAAAGCCTTAAAAATAATCTCAGAGACAAATCATTATTACTATAGACTATAAAAGACTAAAAAGGCCAATCACTCCTTAGTTTGCCAAGGTTATATGAGCTCGTGTTTACTGGATCGGTGACTTAGCAGCAGGAAACTGCAGTCTGTGATTTAGGTGTCTCTATTGGCTGAGCTGGGTTGACATAGCAACAAGGTTTTATGTCTTCTGGGTATTATGGAAAACTACCCAACATGCATCAAAATAGAAAGAGAATTCCGGGTTATGAGGTGTATACCTGTTGTGTATGAAGAGCTCAACCTGTTTAGGTGTGTTTTTAGATCCATTCTCTTTTCATATGGAGACATTGGATAAGAAGGTCACGCAATTAGTTTGGAGAGAATTCAAGATGTAATCAATTCATAATGACGGTTTCCAAGAAACTAAGTAATTAGATCTGGTATGTTATGGAAGAATGGAGATGGTCAGTGGGTTTTATTGCTGTCAAATATGGCAGGATTTAGTCTCCATGCAGCACTTTTCATGTTTCAATTACTAAACTCCTATTAGCTCTTTATAAAATGCTTTTTAATGAATCATCTCTCATTCGATGACTTTTGAAGACAGACTCCAACCCCTCTGCAGCCCTTCAAGTATATGCAGGTATGGATGGAGAAAACCGCTCATGCAGATTAGCTCTTCCACTATTGTTTAACATGGGGAGCTGCGTTAAAGTGTTCAAACATTTTTTTCAGATATGAACTGCCACAGTAGCACCAGGTAGCATCCTAAGCCTGTTGGCTGATAACATAGGTTTGTAACCTACTACAGCAGGCCCTGCAAGGCAAGGTGGAGACAAAACTTCCTATGAGAACTTCTTACTTTTTTATGATCACATTTAAAAATAAGAATTATGTTACAAGATCAACCTTTTTTTAATCAACTTTGGTATGGTTTATAAAGCTTAATTTAAAAAAGTATTTTAAAAAGAAAACATTTAATTTATTAAACATTTATTATTTATGTGTCTAAAAGTCACAAACACATAAGACATAAACTTAATATTCTAAAACTCAGAATGATTCTTCTGGATAAATAAGCTGTAAGGCTGATTTAAATAGTTTTGTTTTGCTTTCACAAACAGACAAATAAAGTTATGAATAATAAAATAATTTGTTTCTCTTTTTTTATTATATTTTACATGTTTCACCTTGCTGCTAAGATATACCCTTTGTTGCTAATGTGACATTAAAACTAAACTACTCACAGACTTAAAACAGCCCTTTCTTTTATTTTGGTTATAAACTGTCAAGGAAAAACATTCTCCCTTCAATTAAATGCTCCAGTTCTGTATGGCTGCTTGATTATTTTAATTTTCTTCAATTTCTATTTTTTATTCATAAATAATCTAGGTTTATAATATCTGATAGGAATATTCTCAATACCTTTACTGCATTTATTTTAAAGAAGTCATTAATGTCGGATGTGTATTTTCAAAATTCAAAAGCATACTACTGGTAAATGTGATTTCTGTGGAAAATATGAAACAATAGAACATGTTATACTGGAACGTCAAAAATATGAGATAGTTTGAATGTATTAAGGAAAAGATTAATTTATCAGATATTTTGAGGAAGAATTTGGGGAGTAAACATATAGAAATACAGTTATTAGCTTTTTAACGAAAACTAAATAATTTCATAGAATTTGATCATAGAGAGGATGAATGTGTGTATGATATAGATGGATATATATAAAGAATATATATATATATAGAATATATATGTTTTCATTAGCAGATAGTCCATCAAGAACCACACTCCAAACCAGTAAGTGGCGGTATTTCTACTAAATGTTTGTTGCCAACCGCTAATAAATCCAAGAAGAAGAAGAAGAGGAACGGATGTGACGTTTGGCATAACGTGATGGCTACGGTAGTGCGTGAGCTTGTGTTTTAATCGTCAAGGACTGCTGGTTAATGTGGGATAATTTAGAAAACCAAAGCTATGTTTCCAATTAAATTTCTTTCAATGTGTATTCCTTTTGTGTGTTTAAATTATTTTAAGTTCAGTATTTTAACACGTTAAAAAAGCTAGGGTTTAAATTAGGTACATTTAGTGCTTTAAGCTTTGGCAGCGGTGTACGCCGATACTATAAACAAGTAGCCCTAATGGTTCCTTCCCTATCAGCGTCGGAGGGACTTTTTTTTTTTCCAACCGGTGGGTGGTTCTTTCTGAGAGGCGTTGCCGCATACGCACTGCAGCTGTATTATAAGCCCGCTGCTCCTATACCCTGTTTTATACCGAGCGTACTCTGTTGCCACTTACAGAAACGTTAGTCTTACTTTGTTAGCTTGTGATACGTTGCCCTCGCAATGGCCGACTTCATTCACGTCCCAGAAGAAGCTCCCGTTGTTCCCAAAATAGACGTGACGGTCGATGAGAACGACTACCGACCCGGTGCGCTGCGGCTAATGAAGGAGCTCAGACCCAGCTGGAAACCGTCCGAAATCAAAATGAAGGTAACATTTATTCATATTAAAAAATCTCGTATTCCTATTTGTACTGCAATGTATAATTACTCGCTTTAATACGTGTTTTTTCCCGCTACCGTCGAAAACTGACATTAGCTAGCTAGGTCTCAGTTTTGAATAAATGTCACCGGTTGATGTCATATGAAACTGGCGGTGAGCTGAGTGCTGAAGGACAAATATTATTAATAGATCTATTTCAATGCATTTTGTGGGATTAGGCAGTGGTGGGTAAACGTTTAAAATGATGCCCAGTCAAATATGGCAGGCCTTTGTAATTAGCATCTCTGTCATCTTAAAACTGCTGCTATCTACGGATGAGGATTAGGGCCACTGAAAAAATTAAAAGTAAAAAAGTTAACTGGTTTTTAAATTTTATTTCAGTATATGGGGAATTTTTCTCAGAATTCTGACTTTTTTTTTCTCAGAATTCTGACTTTTTTTCCCTCAGAATTCTGACTTTTTTTTCCTCAGAATTCTGACTTGTTTCCCCCCCCTTGAATTCGGACTTTTTTTTCCTCAGAATTCTCACTTTAATCTCAGAATTCTCGCTTTAATCTCAGAAATCTGAATGTGTGTGTGTGTGTGTGTGTATATATATATATATATATATATATATATAGTTTAAATGTTTTATTCCATTTTGTTAACCTAAAATCTGTATTCTAGCGAACATTTATTCTGTATTTTGAAGAGTTATAGCCGTTTTTATTTCTTTTTATATTTGATTTTTCATTGTAAAATGCTTTTTTTTTTTTTTTTTTAGGTTGACAATTTTAAGATCTGTCCAGGGAGAACAGATAAAAAATTGCCTTTTGGCTAATTCTGGTGCATTTGCTGGAATGCTTTTTAATGTACACTGTCCCTGTCAAATAAATGAATCTATATAATATAATTTGTAGTACAGAAAGATTTTAGCAAACAGATTCTTTCAGACCAGGGCTATAAATGTGTCGTTTTTAAGCCTTTAGGATGGTTATAAGGGCCTGGAAAGCTTTAGAAGACATTCACATTTTTTTTTTTTTTTTTCACAACTATAGCTGGAAGTGTAATAAAACTTAATATTAATGTTTACCAGACTACGCTCCAGCTTTAGATGTATTAGACTTTATGCTAGAGTTAGAGGACTTTCTGTATTGTTTGAAATGGTGATATTGGCTTTTTTTGATCCATAGTTGCTTGGGATGGTCCCTCAAATATCTAAAATCACCACTATGATTGATTTGTAGCGTTAGAAAGGGCGACAAGCCAGTTCTATACCAGTCTTAAGAGATCTGATGGATTCTAAAAATGTTAACTTCTAGAAGTTTCCACACATTTCTTTCCAGGAATTTGGAAACTTCCGGATGTAATGTCGACGGCCGTGTGAGCTGACCTAGAGCATTTGCTTACACGGTTTGCATAATTGACTTAATCTATTCCTGTTAAGTTGGCTGATGTCTCAAAGTTAAACGGTACCTGTTCAGGATGTTGCTGCAGATAACTGCTGTGAGTCACACTCAGACGTACTAGCAGTCCAGCAAATTTTTCCTCTCACGTGACGACCAGGAGGTGTGGCTCAGCTTTGTAAACACAGCCAGGATGAAGATCACGTATATGCTGATTTTGCCTGCGTTAATCTATGAGGAAAAGTCGGGGGTTCAGCAAATACCTCTCATTCCTTTGGCGTGGAAAAATAAAATTCCACACAATCCTGTCATTCTTCGTCAGTCCTAGACATGGTAAACAGTCAGGAGGGATAATTAGGCGGCTGTCCCCCTATAGTAAATTTCCAGTTAAATTGTGCTGATCGGTCATTTCAGATAAGCCAAAGTCAAAGAGTTATTTAATTGTGCTTCGCTTTATTAATGTTTACCAGATCCTCCCCATCTGATCTTATGTAATATTTCAACCCTTAAAGGACAGAGTATGTTTTTATCCTTGCAACCATTTATTCATTTGGCTTTTTTCTACCACTTGTGTTAAATAATGAAATGCCAATTTCAATCAGCTCAATGCAGGGAAAAGTCAGGCATTTATTTGGAGCTGAAACAATCAGAATAATCATCAACCAATTTAGTAATCGATTAATCATTAACTAGAGTATAGAGACTGTAAAATATCCCTTTAGCTGACGGAGCGACCCATTTAGAGCTGTAATTAATATCAAAATTGTAAAAGAATATATAAACATTTCGCATTTAAGATGAAAAAAATGTTTTCATCTGTCAATATGCCCAATCCAGAACTCCTCAAGTGGAAAAGCTTTAATTTCCTTGGATTTACTTTCATAAAAAAATCTTTAGGGAACCATTGGTTGCCTGATTATTAATTGATTATTCAAAAAATAATCAACAGCTTAATCGATTTGCAAAATACTCATTAGGTGCAGCCCTAGATTTAGTTGTCACTATATCAAAAAATGTCTAAATATACCCCCCCCATTTTAATAATAAGCATTATTAGATGTTAGTTTACCAGTTTCTAATTTGATGCTTCACATTTAAAGCTTTTTTTTTTCCGAGTGAAACAATCGCTCTGAATGTAATGAAATAATTAAAAGAAGTACAATTCTAGGCTGGCTAAAGTAGAATCTACAAAAAATTATGATGGCGTGTTTAAAGCTGCAACAGATCAATTTGTTACTCTTCTAGTTACAAATACAATAAACATACATTTACCTGAATTTCATTTATATATTTTTTTTAAATAGACTGTAGCTCAGTTTTTTCCTCTGCTGATAGCTCACCAAAAGCAACGCGGTTTTTAGGTTTTTATGCCAAGGCTTAGAAATGATAGTTTGCTTAAAATAAATCAAGCAAACAGCCTTTAAATTGTTTTTATTTTGGTGTCACAATGTACATCAAGAAAATTAAAGTTCGTGAAATCTGCTGCAGCTCTTTGGACAGTTTTGGTTTGACGTTTTACCCCCATAGTTTTCTGAAGTATCCCCTTGTTCACAGCCTCTCTGTTCTTGTCTTCCTTTCTGCAGTTTTTCACTGATGGAATAACCAACAAGCTGCTCGGCTGTTACGTGGGCGCAGTCATGCAAGATGTGGTCCTGGTCCGTATTTACGGCAACAAAACTGAGCTGTTGGTCGACCGGGAGAACGAGGTTAAAAGTTTCAGAGTGCTCCACGCACACCGCTGTGCCCCACGTCTTTACTGCACCTTCAACAATGGCCTGTGCTATGAATTCCTGCAAGGCACTGCCTTGGACCCTGAACACATACGCAGCCAACCTGTTTTTATGTAAGAGAAGAGAACAAGCTGGGAGTAGTACTGCACTGACGATGTTTTTCAGGTGGACTTTCTTGCATCAAAATAGATTCAATCTACTTTTTACCCACTGATCAAAGCATTATATAGCTGCCATTCTTACAGGCAAAAAAAGGATAGGGTAGCTCCGCCCACCGTGCATCAAACTTGTACAAGCATCAAAATTGAAGCGGCATGTGCGTTTTTGCTACTCTCGCTGCTTTAGGTGTGAACGTAGCATAAAAGTGGCTAGCTTCCAGCCATGGCGTCCTGTACGAGCATTGGGGGGTGGATTCGTTCATGCGTCAGGGTACATGCACAGGGGGGGAGGGACAAGCAGACGACCATGATTGACGTGTCAGGAACCAATTGTGTACAACGGAGCGTGTTTTGTGATCGGTTAGGCTTATTCATTGATTTCTCACTGTAGTGGGGACCATTTATTTTAGTTTCACTTCCAGACCTTCTATTTCACTGCTTGCTAAGCAGCTGTGGGGAGATCTTTAAGCCACATGGTAAAAAATGCGTTAGAAAATATCTCCTACTGCACCTTTAAACAAGACACTTACTGATGTATTTTTATAGAAGACGACCACAGATCATCTGTTCATGTAATCTTTTTCTGAATGGGACAGCGTTTTCACAACCTACATTTCTGATGCAGTTACAAATGTTTGGCCTGCATGCACCATAGTGAGGAGCTGCTGTTATAAGTTTACATCACACGGCCAATGTTGTTAGTTTATGTAAAAACCATGCATTGGATTAAAAATGCCTGTGATTTTTATTCTATAGTCTGTAATGGAGCAAAGGAAATGCAAATCTTTCTTTGATCAATCAGCACATTAAAAGTTATATTTCAAACTCCAGTCTATATTTGAACATCTATAAGCAGTTTTAAAGTGACTATCCATATGTTTTATGTGGTATTTGTTTACAAAGACATCTTTACAGATTTGGTGTTTTATGCACTCAAGTTCAAACCTTTGGATTTTCACTTCTGTGTTGCAGGCTTATTGCGAGGCAGCTGGCCAAGTACCATGCCATCCATGCCCATAACGGCTGGGTACCTCGCTCTGACATGTGGCTCAAGATGGGCAAATACTTTGCCCTTATTTCCAATTGCTTTAAGGAGCATGATGGGTGAGTTCTTGACTCAGTTATTCTAAAAGCCCTTTTCATTATTCCCTCTGGAGCCTTGTTTCAAAATAGTTAAAGAATTCAAACATGAAATCAAGTTAGTTTTTAGGAATACATATGCATTAAGTTGTCGATTGTCAAGTTGAAAGAAAAACAGCAAACAGGTTTAGCTAGCTGTTAATTACAGAGGAAAGACGTAGCTGCAGACATGGGAAAATGGTTCAAAAATATCCCATGATTGGCAAAATCTGCAAAGTAGTAACCCTTATTATTAAAAACAAGTTCAAGCTTTTATTTTTTATTCCTCAATTATCACTTTAAATTTATTGTTCACGCTTTTGCTCCAGTGGTACTTTGAGACGGTCTGAAACATTTGTAAGTCCAAAGCATTAGTTACGTTTTTCAGTTCAGGCCTTGCTGGCATTAAATGCACTTGTTGCTGCATGAACAACACTTGTTGATGGCCCGGTATCTGCATCCTACTCTTCCCTTTCATAAATGTCATCACTGTCAGTTTGATACAGTGTTCTAGCTTTTGTGCAGATGTTCACATCCAGCATAATGTTGTTTTTTTTTCTGCAGTCATTAATCCACAAAGCTAATGCAGGCTCCATCCTTACCATGGTCCTGTTGCAGACAGTTTTTGCATCCTTAATAAAACTTGCTGCTGTCATCCTTATGTTATTTTCCTCCTCCTTTATGAAATTAATGGAAGATTAATTAATTCTGTAATGGCGACCTACAGCCACATAGCTTCTACCCTCCTTTAGCGTGTCCAACAGTCTAACTTCTTCTGGCTTTTGGGCCTGTCTATAAGTGCCTTTTTTCCCCCTCTAGGTTGAGCTTGGAGGTTCCCAGCCCACAGGCCCTCCGGAAGGAGCTGCTGTGGCTCCAGCAGAGTTTGTCTTTGCTGGACTCTCCAGTAGTTCTCTGCCACAATGATCTTCTTTGCAAAAACATCATTTATAACCAGAGGGAAGGTGAGTATGAGCTGCGGAGGTGCAGAGCTTCCCGTGTGATTGGGTGGTGGTGGGATGTTTTATTGGGCAGGGGTGCTTTTGGTGGATACCCTCAGATGCCCTCTCTAGCTCGGTGTTTGAACTAAGCCTAAATGCTGAGTTAGGAAAAAAAAAAAAACAGATATTCCCTTTGTTTTTGTTTTATTAAAGCTTCTAGGTACGGTTAAAATCCAACAGAGCTTAACTATCGTTGTAAAACGTGTTAATTACAGATTCAATTTAAAGACCTTTCTATATTTGATATTTAGTCTGAACTATTGCTGCTGTTACTGAACAAACTTTAGCATCAAATGGTTTCACACACTCTACATGAGCTTATTCTAAAGAGGAGGTAGCATTTCTACTTTCTTGGTTTTTATTTCTTGTAGACATTGTCCTAAAGAACCTTTACACAATCAGATGTAAATATTTATTCTTTTTCTGGCTAACTAGTAGTGCTGTTCTAGGTTGTTGCAGATTTCTAGACAACAAAAAGAAAAGAAGTAAAGATAAATGGATCAGTGAGGTTAATTAGCTGGATTGGTTGACTCTCCTTCGCTGTTTAACGATGGGTGAGGAAGTTCTCACAGCTCCTTGTGTCCAGCTTTTCTCCCCTAGGAGCCACAGCGTCGCCCTGCCCTGCCCCTCAGGGAGGGATGGAGAGTGAGCCCTCTGCTCAGCCTAATCGGGATGAGTTCATACATACAGGATACACATTTCTATTCAGTCCACCGGTATATTGTTGCATCAGTAATTGGATCCCAGGGAGGCCTTTATAGTAAAACAAATGTGAGGGTTTGGTATTCCTTTTATTTTTAGGACATTATACCCGTTGACCAGATCAAAACCAACGATTCTGTTCTTTCCGCTGTTTACCTCCCTCTATTATACAATGAAAAGCTAAAATATGTCCTTTGAAATACTTTCTACTGTAAATTCTCTCATTTTCTTCAAATCTGAAAAAATGTACTTCTGTTAACATGATTTTAATATATAGGTTATGGAGTTTAGAGGAGCATTTATGTGAGAACTGGTTTTAAAAATGTTAAAATAGTTATTTTTGTTCTTATGGGTGTAGTTGGCGTGAACTTCAAGCTGATCTTTAAATTGTGAAACCGGCATCCTCAAAACAGTTTGTTCTCAGCTGCAGAACATGTGGAAACGGTACAAACTGGTCCAGCGTCTTGCAAAAGCCAAAATTATCTACAGAATGCATCATTGGCTCAGTCAGATGTAAAGCTATTGCGTAAAACTACTTATGAGCAACCCAGATCACCTGATATAAGCTGATGTCTATGCAAATACAGAAATTAAAATAAACAGGCGGAGCTTGGATCTAGAATTATTTTAGATTTTTATCAGATTTTTTTTGTAATGGGTTCTTTTGTATATAGAAATAACAACCAAGTTATTCCTCTTGAACTTTTTCACACACATTACAGACAAATGAGTCAACATAATTTATAGGAAATTTTATGCTCCAGATGCTTAGCTACTCCAACATGCTGTGCAATTATCACCCCCTTTTTACTCTAGTGAAATCTATTGCAGTCATTTTGTTCCATTTAGGCGTAAAGTGTTAACGACCAAATGGTAAGAAGATCACTTAGAAAGTGGAAATTCAAAGATTAGGTTGTGCAGAAGTTTGACACATGGTCAGGTTTTAAAAATATGTCTTCAGAGCTTATTTATTTCAACTATAAGTTGTGCCAAGAAGATGCGATGACAAGTTTTTACAAGATATATGGGAAGAAAGATGTTTCAGTTAGATTGTAATGTAGCATTTTCTTCCTATAATGGGAGACTTGGCATGGCAAGATGTAGGGCATTGTTGGCAGCAGGCCCTGATGTTTGGACACTGTGAGAGAATGGTTAAAACAAACGTGTGAGAGTTTGTGTGAAAGATGTTTTTGCCCAAACCTTTTCATCTGCTGCACAGGGGGGGCTATAGCCATTGCCCGGAGGTGTTCAGTTGTGTCCCGCTAGGACCCACACGCCGGCTGGTAACCCACCTCAAAGTGTCTTTCTCTCTAGTCCAGCCTGAAAAAAAAGTCTTCGTCTCTATTAGTGCTGGGCGATATGGAAAAAATCATATATCATGATATATACTATTTTATATCACGATAATGATATATATCGCAATATGCTCCAATTGAGTACATTTTCAGCAAATCTCTGAAAAATATTACAAAATAATATAATTGCTTACTTTTTCAACTTTATTTTGAAGTGACATTTATAGAACTGTCACAAATTAGAAAAATAAATTCTAGTGCAACAATATATATGCATAAGATGAGGTGGAAGTATGGCTACAGTATCCTTCACATTTTTTCAAATCCTACGGGTATTTAAATTAAATTACTGTGGTTCTTCTTTAGGTATTAGAAGAGGTTTGTCGTGTTGCCATCGGGTAAGGGAACAGTCTTGTAGCATAGTTTGCAAATGTTGTCTGCTCCTTGTTGGACTTGTTAAATCCAAAATGTAACCAAATCACAGATGTGCGCCCTCTTTTTGGTAAAATTTCTTTATCTTGGGTTGCCTGCGTAGCTGTCTCTGTTTGTTGCGACCACAGGTTTAATACTTCAGCCTCCTGCGTCTCCAACTCTCATGAGTTAAGTAACGTAAAGCATGTCGCAAACCCGCGTGTGAGTCAAAAACCCGTAAAGAAGCGTCATGTTGCAAAAACCACAGCACGCCGCTTCTTTGTGGATTATTATTATTATCTTATCTAATCTTGTTTATCACTTATAAGCTGTGTGTAGGCTACGTGGCTACACTAATACAATTGTCATAGTCTACCATGGGAAATATTTGCATGAATACGAGATACAATTGTGTTAGAAACGATAGAAACGATAGAATAGAATTAGCACGATAGACACTTTTCTATCGTCCGTACGATATGTATCGTCTTATCGCCCAGCCCTAGTCTCTATGATGTCAGGTTTAAGGATTTGATGATAAAGTAGCTAGATTAGGTCTCCCATCAGAAATGTAATCTGCGTTTTTAATCTATCAGCAGGCCGGTCTAAGTAAGGGTTTGGATTTTGAGATGAACCACTTCATGTCTTACTGCTTTCCTCTTGGCTCATTTTGTCGAAGCTAGCTTTTTATATTTTCAGATAAACGACCAAGGCAGCAACACACAACTTAAAACCAATTTTTTTGGTTGATTAAACATCAAAGTTAAAGGAATAGTACACCCAAAACATGATTAGCCTTCATTTTCTACTCACCCCCATGCTGAACAACACTCTGGAGTATTTTTTTGATATCTCAAATGCATCTGGAGATCTGGGAGGCTTCTTGCTGTCTGCTGACATTCAAATAATGGAGGTCTATGGTGATCGAGACAGAAAGGTCCATAAAAGTCCACAAAAAACGTGTCAGTATTCCTCCATACTGCTCGTCCAATGTATTCCAAGTGTCCTGAGTGGGTAGCATCCAGAATTTACTCGAAACGAAGTCATTTAGAATGTTTTTAGAGCATAAACAGTAGTGTATAGGATTTCCTGAAAGCGTGCACATGCGCGCTCACGACGCTATGGAAGCCGGCAGACCAAACCAGCGCATTCAGCTCGGCAAAGAACTCATGCTCTTCCTCAACACTGAAGTCCTCAGACATTTTTCTTTCGTTGTTTCTTTCTTTGCACAGGTAAACAGCACTTTTCTTCTTCTACGCTTGCATTATCGGCAGAGCAGACGCTGAATGCGCACTTTCATCTGGCTTGGTCTGCCGGCCTCCGTAGCGTCGTGAGCGCGCATGTGCGCGCTTTCAGGAAATCCTATACACTACTGTTTATGCTCTAAAAACATTCTAAATGACTTTGTTTCCAGTAAATTCTGGACGCTACCCACTCAGGACACTTGGAATACATTGGACGACCAGTGTGGAGGAATATTGACACGTTTTTTGTGGACTTTTATGGACCTTTCTGTCTCGGTCACCATAGACCTCCATTATTTGAATGTCAGCAGACAGCAAGAAGCCTCCCAGATCTCCAGATGCATTTGAGATATCAAAAAAGTACTCCAGAGTGTTGTTCAGCATGGGGGTGAGTAGAAAATGAAGGCTAATCATGTTTTGGGTGTACTATTCCTTTAATATGACGCGCAAGCAGGGAGCTTAGATAGGTTATGGAGTTTAGAGGAGCATTTATGTGAGAACTGGTTTTAAAAATGTTAAAATAGTTATTTTTGTTCTTATGGGTGTAGTTGGCGTGAACTTCAAGCTGATCTTTAAATTGTGAAACCGGCATCCTTAAAACAGTTTGTTCTCAGCTGCAGAACATGTGGAAACGGTACAAGCTGGTCCAGCATCTTGCAAAAGCCAAAATTATCTACAGAATGCATCATTGGCTCAGTCAGATGTAAAGCTATTGCGTAAAACTACTTATGAGCAACCCAGATCACCTGATATAAGCTGATGTCTATGCAAATCCAGAAATTAAAATAAACAGGCGGAGCTTGGATCTAGAATTATTTTAGATTTTTATCTAATTTTTTTTTTTTTGTAATGGGTTCTTTTGTATATAGAAATAACAACCAAGTTATTCCTCTTGAACTTTTTCACATTAAAGACAAATGATTCAACATAATTTATAGGAAATTTTATGCTCCAGATGCTTAGCTACTCCAACATGCTGTGCAATTATCACCCCCTTTTTACTCTAGTGAAATCTATTGTAGTCATTTTGTTCCATTTAGGCGTAAAGTGTTAACGACCAAATGGTAAGAAGATCACTTAGAAAGTGGAAATTCAAAGATTAGGTTGTGGAGAAGTTTAACAGATGGTCGGGTTTTAAAAATATGTCTTCAGCTTATTTATTCCAACTATAAGTTGTCCCAAGAAGATGCAATGATAAGTTTTTACAAGATATATGGGAAGAAAGATGTTTTAGTTAGATTGTAATGTAGCATTTTGTTCCTATAATGGGAGACTTGGCATGGGAAGATGTAAGGCATTACAGTTTACCTTTGAAAGGAACAAAGAGGCTAAACTGGATATTCTTTGGGGTAGGCACTAGGGGTGTAAATAATAATCGTTTTGTATCGATGCATCGATCCAAAAGCCGACGATCCGATGCATCGACACGTCCGCAAGATAATCGATTAATGTTTTTTTTTTCCCTCCGGTCTATTTTTATCCATTTGCTCCTGGGCGTAATTCTCCCTCCCGTGCTGCGGTGCCGCTAAACCTATTTTGCCCTCCTACCGCGCTTCCTGGTTATACTCTTACAGCAGTTTGTTGCAGCAAGCTTCACACAGACATTTTTAAATTATGCTCAGTATTGAAGCGTGGTCTGGGCTACACGCTGTGGGTCTAGATACGGCCGAGGCGATGAGGAAGTGGCGGCGAGTTTAGTCCGACGACGGAGGGACAATGGGGCAAAAAGAGCGGAGATTCAGCTGGAAAAAGGCTCCCAGCTTTCTCGCGCACCTCGCTCTTCTAGCGGGTCAAACTTCACGAGTTGTTTTCCGCAATTTCGGTCATAAAAACAAAACAAGCCGCCCTCCTGTCTGAGGCACTGTTTGCGGTCAGCTACAATCTGGGAGAGGAGCAGCGGAGCGTCTCTCAAGGGGCGGTGACGTCAACACTCTGGAGCTCTTCTTCTTCTTCTTTTTTTTTAATGGCGGTTGGCAAACAACTTATAGTTGCATTACCGCCACCTTCCAGAATGGAGTATGGACCAGACAAACTATTATATTCTCCCTAAAATACCCGTTCTTCTTAGAAAATTAAAAATACTACCAAAAACTACATCCCCAGATGACCTTTGAAACAATTCCCTTATATCTGTCTAACTCTCTACACAACATCTCTCTTTCCTGAATATATTTTTTACATTCTAAAAAAATATGTTGGACAGTTTCTCTGGAGCCGAGGTATTGCATTGAACTCATTACACTGATATTGTGCAGTATTTTTGCAGTATTTTTTGATGCAACTTTTCTACTTCTGTTATTTGCTGTTGTTTCTAAAGAAAATGCATAATGATTTTACAGCTTTCATTGATTTATTTCAAACTTGAAACTTTGTTTAGCCTGTAAGGTGTAAAAAAAAAAAAAAAATAATAATAATAATAATAAAAAAATTAATCGATTAATCGAATCGAATTGTGGTGTATTCTTAAGTATCGAAAATAATCGAATCGTTGGGTCAGGAAATCGATACTGAATCGAATCGCCATGATGGATGTGATTTACACCCCTAGTAGGCACAAAAATCAAAACAATTTTGCTGCCAAGCGGCTTCCTGTACATTTTTTAACCATCAAACTTGTCAGACCAAACTGATAGAGAGCAAAGGGCCACTTCCTGTATCAATAAAGTAGAAGTGCAAAGTAATTTGTTTAGTGTTATTCAAAAATAATATTTACTCTTGTTGTAAAAAGGACAGAAGCAAGCTGGTTTCAATTTGTCTCCACTGTTCATGTAATGTAAATCTGTAGAGCAATACCCATAAGTGGGCCATAGAAGTTTTGTCACATACAGAAGCAGCAGAGGTCTTATCCTATTGGGTTTTATTGTGGACCAATGGGAACAGAGCACTAGGAGGGGGGTGTACACATTATGGGGAAGGGGATTGTTGGCAGCAGGTCCTGATGTTTGGACACTGTGAGAGAATGGTTAAAACAAACGTGTGAGAGTTTGTGTGAAAGATGTTTTTGCCCAAACCTTTTCATCTGCTGCACAGGGGGGGCTATAGCCACTGCCCGGAGGTGTTCAGTTGTGTCCCGCTAGGACCCACACGCCGGCTGGTAACCCACCTCAAAGTGTCTTTCTCTGTAGTCCAGCCTGAAAAAAAACTGTTCTTCTCTATGATGTCACGTTTAAGGATTTGATGATAAAGTAGCTAGATTAGGTTTCGCATCAGAAATGTAATTCTGGGTTTTTAATCTATCAGCAGGCCGGTCTAAGTAAGGGTTTGGATTTTGAGATGAACCACTTCATGTCTTACTGCTTTCCTCTTGGCTCATTTTGTCAAAGCTAGCTTTTTATATTTTAAGATAAACGACCAAGGCAGCAACACACAACTTAAAACCAATTCTTTTGGTTGATTAAACATCAAAGTTAATATGACGCGCAAGCAGGGAGCTTAGATAGTCTAGGAATTATATGGATTTCATTTGGACCTGGAGCAAAAAAGGATAACTCCCGGAAACACACAAATACCTAGTTTTTTGGGGTTTTTTGTCCAAATACTTCTGTTTCTTTGATGGGCAAAATACTGTTAACAAATGCAAGTAGATGTTGTCCTTTTTAAGAGCAAACCTTCGCATGATAAATACATATTTATGGACTCCTATCAGTCCATCTCCAGAGCAATAATGTGCAGAACTGCACAGGTCATAATGATGTCCATTATCAGCCACATTTCTCCTGCTAATCCAAGACAGACTCATTTTTCCTCTCCTTCCTTAGCACTGAATGGTGGTTGGGTTTGCATGCTCATCTTAGTGACCTCATACTGAAAACATCCTGCTGTAACGAATTACAGATTGGAAGACAAAACAGTTTTAGGATGCAGCTTTGGAAAAAAGTTTAAAACCTGCTTAGTCGGGAGTTCCTGGAGTTTAATGCTCTGTTCATTGAGGTAAACTAGAAAAATTATCTAGAAATAAGTAAAAATCTCTTAAATTAAGTGTATTTACCCTTAATGTGGGTATGTAAATGAGATGGTCTGCCAATGGATTTAGTATTTTTACTCTTCAAATAAGATATTTAAATAAAAATCACTTGAAATAGGTCAATGCAATTGTTTTCTTATTTTAAATGTAAATTATCTTTTTCCGTAGGCAAAAAGTCTCATTTACCTCCTCAATTCAAGAAAAAATACTTATTTTAAGAAAAAAAATGACTGATCTAGATTTAGATTTTTTGCAGTGTAGTCTGGATTCATACATCAGCTGTTTCAGTGGCTAAAATATCTCGACACTTCTTAAACTCTGCTTAGAATCTAAATATTTTTGTAATGAAGTCCAAACTCCTTGTAAACTGTTGCGTGCTTCTGTTATTTTTCACATAAATTATAATTATTACCCACAATTAACACAACGCTAATCCTTTTTTACCATGTAGACTAAAAAGTCTCCAACACAGCCTGATTCCCACACACTGCATTCCAATTGGTTCTAACTATGGTGTGTTGCTGTCTTGCCTCAGACCCGTTGCTCTTTTCTTTCTCTCTTTTTTTTTTTTTTCTATAAACATCACCCTTTCACCTTCTACTTCTGTTTTTCCAGCTTTTCCAAAAAGCTTTGTCTGGCCTGCTTCCCTTTATCCTGTGCATGTATCCAAAACAAATCCTCACCGGGAAATCAGCACGCCCTCTTCCCATCAGACCCGTGTTGCATCACATTTTCATTTGTCAAGTGTTTGTCTGCATGTTTTTACTAAAATCTGTTTTGACTTAGGTGAAAACATAAAAAACTTAACTGAAAATATTTTTTCTCTGCTTTTTTGACTACTTGTAGCTTTTTCACAAAATAAAGCTGAAACAGTTTAGATTAAAAGCTGATACTTTGTGAACTTGATGAAAATGACCTTTCAGTGTGAGTTCAGACTTCACTAGAAGTTTTTTCCCTCTCTAAAACCTTGTTTAAAAGGAAACATTTTAGAGGTTTCTCTTGTCTGGAATTTCCTCTATTCCATCCTCCTCAAAATGCAAACTCTTACTTCTCGCCCTGCAATTGGCTGCCTAGACATTTTATCAGTTTTAGACTATTAAAAACTTCACCTTCTGAGTTATTAAAGGAAAGCAACATAATGATTCGGTCACTTTCTGGTAACTGCCTCTAATCAACGCTTCTTCTGTCTCCAGGCAGTGTAAAGTTTATTGACTATGAGTATGCAGGCTACAATTACCAAGCCTATGATATTGGGAATCATTTCAACGAGTTTGCAGGTAAGTGATTCTATATGACGGCAAATATGTCCTCCTGCTGTGGAGAAAGTCTCTAACGTTCTTGGTTTGCTAAATGTTTTAGGCCTGAATGAAGTGGACTATAGTCACTACCCGCAGCGGGCCTTTCAGCTACAGTGGCTCCGCTCCTACCTGGAGGCGTACAAGGAGCACAAGGGTCAGGATGGCGAGGTTACTGACAAAGAGGTGGAGATTCTTTATGTTCAAGTCAACAAATTCACCTTGGTAAGTGTCTGAGTGAATAAATGTGAGATATGATCCAACAGAACAATAGCTCTTTAGTCCCAGAACTCACTCCTAGTGTAGAGGAGTGTTTTTACTGCATCAATATACCATATTGATCATGTAAGAAAGTTTCAGCTTTACTTCCTCCACTGTTCTTAGTAAACATATCTGACAGGGACTCTATTAATAGCTAATGATTATTTATTTTGAAGACTTCAAGGAAAACAAACCTGTAGTTAAAATGGCGGCGGGGCTCGCCGCCGAAGTGTTATGTCTCATCTGTTGTTAGATATTAGTTTACCTTGTTGTACCAACAAGCTTTCTTGTTCCAAAACAATAGGAAAAATGAAGCTGCTGAAAATCCTTGGGGCTCTTTTTTTTTCTCACTATGACCCCTGCTGCAACAATAAACAAACATTTCAGTGGATGTGGGTTAAACAGTAGATGGACAGGACAGCTACCTTGCTAGCATCTTTATTCTGAGGTTTCTGGTTTTTTGTCGTAACACGGGGCAAACGTGGAGCGTGGGTGGATGAAGCATCTCTCACCTGTTTAGTAAATAGAAAGTGACCTTTGATATTCTTGCTGCTTTGTTTCCAGGCGTCTCATTTCTTCTGGGGTCTCTGGGCTCTGATTCAGGCCAAGTTCTCCACCATCGACTTTGACTTCTTGGGGTAAGTTTCTATCCTATGATAAGCTCTGATTCTTTTAGGATCTGTGCTGCAGCAAGCAGAAAGTTTCTGCCATTTCAGCAACTTATTTGGGTACAGAATGTCTTGTTCTGTATATTTTTTATCTCCTTGCTGACGCTGTTCTGTTATTTTTTGTTCTACCTGAAGATATGCAACGCAGCGTTTCAACCAGTACTTCAAGATGAAACCAGAGGCAGCTGCACTGACGTTACCAGATTAAAAGCAGCTCCTGTTCTTTCATCTTCCTGCTTTCTCCCTGCTCCTCATATGATGACTGCAGGGCGCCCTCTAGAGGACTGCCTGAAGAATAAATCCACTTGAAATTCCTGTTTGGTCCATTTTCACAGACTGGATAGAGAGCGGTCCGATCATCTGCAAATGCTGGAAGTCACTTTTAAGATGGACAGATTTAAACCCTTTTATAATGTGATGCACATGTGGCTAAATCGCTTTTTTATTTAGTAGTTTCTATTGTGTCTTGGATGTGAACATCAGATCATTATACTGTACTTTGTACCTTTTCGAGAAGGTAACCTTTTATAGGTGACCTGAACACTAATTTGATTGTTTTTAGAGATGAAGTGAAGGCAGCATCAAGCTCCGCCCCCTTCCTCAGTTGCTCTCCTGTGGTTCACTAGAGTAGCACCACTCTGCAGCTAGTTGGGACCTGCTGTTTTTGTCTCCTACAGGTTGTAGGGAAGCATTTAGTGTTTACTTCTGAAGTCGCCACTGAGTTGAAGAGTTGTGCATCACTTTAGTGCAGATTTCTCCCTTACTTTGGCACTTAAATGATTTACATATTAATGGCTTCCAGGAAGGCACCTCAGAGGGATCGGACCATTCCATGTTCATAAGGTCAGTCATACGATAGGTCAGCAGATTTAACTCTCTAAGAGACTGAGCTCTACTGTTTTAGACCAAACATGACGCTGTCTGTGGTCTCTTTCTGTACTTCATACTGACGGAATCACTCGCACACAGTGTGATCTTTGGATTAATTGAACTTGTGATATTTGAGTTAACATTGGGGTTTGTTAAAATTAATGGTCTGGAAAATGGGAGGAGCTTGTCTGTTAAGTCATAAAGAGAAAAACCAGATTAAACGAATAAAAATAGCACTAGATTTATACAAAACATTTAGATTAAACGGGATCTAATACATTTAAATTATAACCGTGATAAATTCTGCTGTTAAAAATGTAAAGCATTGCTTATTAGATTTATATTTTATATAATTTGTGTTGTGATACATTCACTAACGGGAAGATGCAGGGTGATGATGTATAACACTGACTAGTCTGGAATCTAGCCTGGTCTTGGCTGCTAAACACATGTCATGCTTGTTGCTTTTGCTAATGTCTGTAGATTAAAATAAATGTGAAGCAACAAGTGGGGAAGGGGCAATGTTGCATTAATCTAAATGTCATACAGCTGGAAAAAACTGGTCACTTCAGCAGTTTATCTGGCACCTCATTAAACGGACCATACATTCTAGTTTTATTTTTTTTTTTATTTAACATTTCTAATCTTTGACAAATTCCGATGTCACTAAATGCCTGGTTTAAAATTACAATTGGATGAAAATGGCTTTGTACAGTTACTGAAAGCTTTATGATAGTGAAAACTGATTTCTTTATCAAACAAGCCAACAACAGATTGCTGCCCCTTTGCTCTAATACTGTGTACATTTCAGGACATCAGTGATGTATTTCTTTTTTTTTTTTTTTTCCTAATGATGGAAATCCTGTTTCGCAAACTGTCCATTAAATTTGGGATTGAATTTGTTGAAAATGTTCCTGTTTCTGCACATTACCTGCTTATGAGCAGGTATCCAAGGGTTAGTTTTGCTGTGTAACATTTTTTAAACACCACTTAGTGAAGCTAAAAGCTTTAAAGCTCACTCTTTAAATTCCTTATCATTTTTTTGTGACATAACTTCAGAATAAAAGGACAGTTTTAGGTGAACCCAACGCAGTTTAGATTGATGAAAAAGGTTGGAGAGTACTTGGAAGAGTACTTAAAGCAAACTCTTATTTCACAAATGTTTAGTAATTATAGGCATTAAACCCATTTCTGTCTCTAAATCTGTGATCTTATTTCTGTTTTCTCATGATTACATTTGTCAATATTTTATTTTCACTAACCAATGTGCACCTAAATATCTCTCCACTCTTCTATGTACAGCAAGCAGATGGAAAATATCTTTTGTGAATAGAAATGTACATAGCAGATTTATTTTCATTTGTTTTTTTATTGTTTTAAAGACTGCATCAAATAGAATGATTGCCTCGTGTAAGAGGTTTTCTTGGATGAAATGAAATGATTATGCTTTTTTGAAAATAAATTGTTTACGATTGAAATTGACTGTTTTCTTTGAAGGGAGAAAATCTGAGTACTTCACATTACCTACTAAATATTTCTATCCAGTCTGAAACTAATTATCTGCAGGTCCAGAAAGCTTTTACTCAAACATTTAGCAAGCTTTTAACAATAGCAGCTGACCGTCAAGTTGTATTTATATAAACAAGATAGTTCTGAGACTTTGTCACAGATCTACTAAAGCTGTATAAAGACAGGAAAAGATGAGGTAGACTAAGTGGAGAGTGAAAACTTTACAGCACTCAACCTAAAATCAGCAAAAATCATAAATCTGCTGTGTTTAGAAAGATGGTGACAGTGATGAGGCTCTGCACCTTCCAAACGTTCAGTCTGGTTATCGTTAAGCGCAATTGTTGGTCAGTGAGGTTTTATGATTATTGTTCATTTCACTATTTGGTGCACAACCTTATTGCACCAGAAACCTGATGCTTTAATGAGGTAGTTCCACACATGACCACAGGATGGCGAAACAACCCAACAAAAAAGATAAACACACTAGTTAATCCCAATAAGCAGTCAATACTATCACAAATTGATATGTTTGTGTTCATTCATTTGTAGATGTAACAAAAACAGATGTGATCCAGAGGTTAGGGACCGGGCTTAGGAAGAATTTTTGGTTTGCTGTTCCCTTGTAGATGAAATGACCTACAGAAAAGGTCTAAGGACTTTGCTTGACTGATCCTTCAGTTTCAGCTCCTTGCTCTGTTTTTTTTTTTTTTTTCTTTTTTTTATGTTTGGTGATATGGTAACAGATCTGAAACTATCAGGATCCTGTTCTTCCACAATTTTTGAACAGGTTTTCTTACATTTACCATTATCAAAGCTAGTCTGTGCTGGTGTGGTCCCTACTAAACTTAAACATACAGTAGTTACACCTCTTCTCAAGCATCCAGGACTCGTTCGATCTACATTGTCCAATTATAGGCCTATTTTTAAGCTAATATTTATTTCAAAAGTCTTGAATAAGATAATTTTCTCTCAGCTTAAACCTTATCTGGAGGGAAATGACCTCCCTTAAATAATTCAGTCTGGGTTGAAGGCTCGTAATAGGACTGAATCAGCATTACTACAAGGTTTTAATGATATTCTCTTGGCCTGTGATTGTGGTAGCTATACGATTTAACTTCTGTTGATCTAACGGCTATTCCGATAACATGTCTGAATCAATTAATAGTGATCCAGCACACCGCTCTTAAATGGTTTAGATCATATTGAATGGAACTGATTTTTTATGCCGATTACTCTCATATCTATTTGCCCCTAAAGCAGGAAGATGGCAGGGTTCAAGTCTTTATTGAACTGTTTAGATGACATTAAAGACTGGTTGGCCCTGAACTTCTTAAGAAAACTGAGGTTATGTTGGGGACCCAGTATTCAGGCATGGCATACAGTGGGATTATTCAAAATCATTTAAGATTAAGAAACTCTAGAGGAAACTAAGGTTAGTGACCACGATAACCCTTTGGAGGATGATATAAATGCAGTTACTAACATGGAGTAGAGTACAGTCTGTGCCCAGAGAACGATGTTGATAACAGCCAGTAAGCTGACAAGACGCAGCTGTTGCTACACAGAGAGTTCCAGAAGCCAAAACTTTGGAAACTACAGAACTAACAGGAGATCAGATCTAAGCAGGTAACGGAAGGCAGGATAATCAAAAAGGAAAAGTCACGAGGCAGATCCAGGTACAATCCACAAATAAAGTCCAACAGAATCCCAAGACAGGTCAGGCAAATGGATCAGAACAGGGACCGCCAGGCTCAAAGGTCCGAAGACAAAACGGGTCAGGATCAGGCATTCAGAACACAAACTAGTAATGCTAGAAACACTCTCACCACATGCTGGAGAGAAATAATCTGGCTCTGATGACTGGGAGCAAGCAGTTTAACCCTCTCCAGGCAGATGTTGCAGATTTGCAACAGCTAAATGCTACTTAGCTAATTACTCCACATCCATATATTTTAAGAGCTTTTGTTACTCAGAAGTACAACAGAAGACTTAGTTGTGCATTTGCAACAAACAGTTTCTCTCCAGCTCACCAGATAGCACTGCTGACTCACTTTCAACATGGCTGAGTCCTTGGTGTCACTGAAACAGATTTTCTAAGCACCAATTTAATGTAAGCATTACTACCATATGTATAGATATGACACATGCCAATTAGTAGATTTTATCTAATCTGAGTTTTTCACCAGAGGCATCTTGATTTCAATGTTGTGGATTTGCAACGTGTGCCCAAACCGGTACTAATGGATGCTACATGCTTTATCTACTAGTTTGCCTATATTATGAGCAACAGTTTGACAGAAATGGCCTTCTCAAGAGGTTTTGAGATGTCGATGGAGAAAAATATGGAGAAAAAGTTGTCTCTAATTTTGTGAGAGAACATTTTTTTTTCTAACTTTGTTTTGAATTTTTATTTGTGACATTCTAATAAAGTTAACGTTCATATCAGATTCAGTCTTCAGTGTTAATTTACCACTCCGGGCCACTGTTGCAAATCTGCAACATCCCAGAATTCATTGCATGTGAAGGTCTCTCTAAAAAAAATATTACCCTATATTATCATTTTCTCCAAATATCAGATTTTTCCTGCAACTACAACTTAATTTGAGTCATAGAGGACTAAATAAAGACATGTGGACAATTGGACAGGTGAACGAAATGAGTAATTAAGCCCGTCATCAGTGCCAAGATCATGACAGGCCTAATTGCCTTTTTGATTCCTCTACTATAGACCTAGGAAGTCCTCACACCATATTTTAAATCGACCATCACAAACTTGGGTTTTAAGGTGGACAGTGATTTTAAATTGGACAAAAAAATTGCAGCCACTGTCAGATATTGCTTTTATAAGTTAAGACAATTGGCAAAAGCCTTTTCTTTCATGGCAACCCTTTGAAACAGTTATGCTTTTATTTCATTTTGGCTGGATTACTGTAACTGTGCCAGTCTTTGCTGTCTTGCTTACAGCTGGTGCAAATTGCAGCTGCTCGTCTTTTAACTGGAACTCCAAAATACGATGTCCTGGCCTAACTCCACTGGCTGCCTTTGCATTTTAGAATTAATTTAAAAATTCTTATCTTTGTTTCAACAAGTTTCTTCCAGTTAAAATAAAAGTAAGAAAAATAAAATGTTTAAGAAACTTTACACTCAGTTTATTTGTTACACTCCCCCATCCTCTACTAAGGATTTTAGCTCTCCAGACATTTTGGGTTAAATGTAATAAGTTTAAGTAAATGCAGTAAGGGAAATAAAACAGAGAGTAATCGTACACTGTATGGTTAAATTCATGCCTCACATCCCAAAACCAAACAAATAACTTCTATTTTCTCCAAGCGAATCAAACCCACTCTTCGTCTTCCTAATATGAGCACCGTCTTATACGGTGAAACGATTACAACAGTGCATTATCCAACTCACTGACTGTAATTCAATTATCCTCCTCCCCCCGGCTTCATCCAACCAGATAATACACACATTAATTAACAACAGAATCCAATATCGCCTGTTCTGCGCCTCCACTTATTTTCATTTCCAATAAAAAGGTCACAGCAGCCACTTCCCACCGAAGACAATTAGTGTAAGTGTGTAGTAATGGATTACGCTTGTAAATCACCAACAGCCCAAAGAGGGTGACAGGGAGCGGAAAAGTGAGCCCGGCAGTATTAGGAGGTGGCGGCCTGGGAAAACGGAGGTGCTGAAGTGTCATTTCAGAGAACTCATTAAGCAAAATCTCCGGGAGGTGGATGTTCTGCATAACGTGCTTCACGCGGACAGAAAGAGATTATTATTTTGTTTAGGTTCAACAAGACATCAGAGAAGTTAACGTCTTCGTGGTGCAAACAGTGACACACAAATCAGTCATCAATCCAGTGTGAGGTACGATTAAAGGTTTGCTATAAATAAAGTGTAATTACCCTTAATTTGAGTAGGTAAATTAGATAATTTTCCAATGGAATGAGTATTTTTACTCTTAAAATAAAATATTTAGATATAATGCACTTGAAATAAGACAATGCAATCGTGTTTTCTTATTTTAAATATAAACCGTCTTGTTCTATGGGCAAAATGTCTCTTTAACCTTCTCAATTCAAGAACAAATGCATGTGATCTCTTCATCCTCTGACATGGGAGCTGGTCTGCCTGGCTGTGTGTTTCCTGGACTGGGCTGCCTTTAATACCTGCTTTTTGTATCTCTGCTTCTGTCTCCTTAAACCCCAGTCGGCCTCGGAAGATGGCCGCTCACGCTGAACCTGGTTCTGGTGGAGATTTCTTCCTGTTAAAAGGGATTTTTCCTCTCCGCTGTCGCTACAAGGATTGCATTTGAGTCAATGAGTTAGTGCAATTAACTGGTTTTCTTTTGGTAGAAAACTGTATCAATTTGACCGTATGATCAGATGAACTGTAAAGTGCCTTGATATGACGTGTTGTGAATTGGCACTATATGAATAAGCTGAATAGAATATAGTTAAGACCCTTATATCTGTGAGCTTTTTGTGCTCGAGTGTGATGCAAATTTTTTTTTATGTTTTGTGCCACAATGATCAATGATTATTAATCAATATATTTGATAGCATTTTTGTACATACTAAATAAAATTAGTTGTAATGTTGTAATTATTTTTTTATCCTAATGTGACTCATCCTTGTGTCTTTTCTTTTGTGATCTTAGCTGAGGTCCAGGCCATTGCCAGCATGATAGAAAAACAGGCTCAGATTGTTGTGAAGCAAAGACCTGTCTGAAGAATCAAAGAAAAGAAAAGAGGCCCTTCTTGCTCAATACGTCAGTTAAACGGAAGAAGAGGAATATCCTTGATGATAAACATAAGCTATGCTTATTTTGTTTTAAGTGTTCTGTATCGGTCTGTTTGCCTTTTACTGTGCAAACATAAAGTCTGTGATCACAGAAATAGGGAGAAAATGTTTTTTATTTTATCTGGAATAGTTGAATTACAGAGATCAAGCTTCTCCTTGACAAAATAGCTGAAGCGGAAGAGAAGCCAGCGACTGGAATCGATGTTGCTGGAAATGATTGATGTGTCCTCATGCCCTTTTTAACCTTAAATTTCCTGATATTTAGTCTTAATAAATGCAATTTCAATTCAGTTTATTTCTATAGTTCAGCAGATCATACAGTCAAATTGATTTATTCTCTAATCTAAGGAAAACCAGTTGATTGCATCGACTCATTGACTTCAATGCAATCCTTCACATCCCTTATCATGTGATTATCTCATGTTTCATTTATCAATTGTATTAATACACGTAAACTAAATCATTTCTAGTTATGTTAACCTCCACACAGGTTAAAGTTGTTTTAAAAAACTAACTGATCAAGCAAAAGCTTGACCAAGGAATGGACAAAATGCAGCGAGAGGACAATTTGGCCAAACAATACAGAAAAAAGTAACGTGCACAAAAAGGTGCACGTAAAAGTTAAAAACCAAAAGGAAGTTTTTTTGTTTCTTTGGGGAAAAAAAATAGATTGAGAAGTTAAAGCTTAAAATTTTAGCATCTCTTAACAAATACATTTCTAATTGTGTTTAAGTCACTGCCAGATGCTTGGTAAAGCTTTTCTCAATGGTGAGACACGCTGAACGGAAAATTCATACATAAATGAATTTACACTTAGTTGTTTGATAGTCTTACCCACTTTCTATGACCGTTTTGGTATAAACCTATGCAGAGAACTTCATTCTACCTATTAAAAATTTTCACCGTCATGATTTTACTAAAGCATATAACTCAAGATGAGAATCGACCCATTTTCACTGGTATTCTTGCAGCCAAAATCTGATAAATGCTTCAAATTATTACAAAACTCATCTGCAGGTTTTGCTTTTAGTTTCTATGCATCTTGATGGTGAAACATTTTTGCTAAATTAACTAACCTCAGATGTATACTGTTCCATCATTCAAAGGTTTTGAGGTCTTTTTTTAAAATGAAAAAAAAAACTTTTATTTCTTTGTACAAAACTTTATTTTTAAAATTCATTGTACAGAACTGGTAACATCGAAACAGGAATTGACAAAAAAAGTCAATTCAAAAGTAAAGTCAAAAAGTAAAGCAGAAAAGTTATATAAATATATTAAAATGTACTCAATTAATGGAATATTTGTTTCTTCCACTTTATTCAAAATCGAAAAGAGTAACCCTGGAAAGGAGAAGAGCCCCTCTCGGCACATTGGTCTCCTTCACACACATTATGGTCCTGAATCCTGACAGATTTGGGAAGCGTCATTTGGAGGGCACGCCACACAGCTGTTTGGAGCCCCCTGGTGGTAGCAGTCAGGTCCTTCAGTGCAGTGACCATCAACATGTTACCTTTGAGGGAAAAAAGCCAGTTAGGATGATGGGCATCTTTAAAAGAGGTAAAAGTACTTAGATTGATTACCTCTGTCCTCGCTGAAATTAATTCCCGGCTGCTGCTGTTTAGTCGGGTTTCCATCCTCCTTGAATCTTGTCTGGGTGACGCATATAGCCATGTCGTGCCTTTTCAGCGCAGCATGGATGTTGATAGGCAGGGAAACACCACAAAGATGCTCCATTCTGTCGAAAAGGCCTTCCACCTGAAACATGATTATAATGCCAGCACTTTCTTCACTCGTTGGTTTTAACATAAAGGTTCAAACATGTTATTTGAATATATTCTAATTTCAAAAGCACAACTAATTAAAAGGGCATTCTTTATATGTGACAATATCATTTGAGGACAAAATCGTACAACTGGGCCATATTTATTTGTACGGACGACCTGATCCAGTGGCCAAAAAATGAATATAGTGGCCTGCATCTAAAATCTCAATTATCTGGGCACTATTGTTTTAGTTTATGCAACCCATTGGTTGCTAATACACCTACTGTTGTTGACAAGCTTTTTTCAACACTCCTCACTGTGAATACACTGGAAAAAAGATCTAGAAATAAGTAAAAGTTCCTTAAATTACGTTTGTTTACCCTTAATTTGTGTAGGTAAATGAAATAGTTTGCCAATGGAATGACTATTTTTACTCTTCATATAAGATAATTAGATCCTATGCACTTAATTTAAGACAATGCAATTGTGTTTCCTTATTTTAAGTGTAAATTGTCTTGTTCCATTGGCAAAATGTCTCTTTTAACTCCTTAATTCAAGAACAAATGCACCTATTTTAAGAAAAAAAAAGATTTATCTAGATTTCGATTATTTTCCAGTGTGTTTTGTGCTGTACTCTTATCTGTAATATTGGCATTTGAAATAAAGCTGACAGCCTTGGCTGGGTCCGGGACAAAATCAAAAAAATTGATGATTGACGGCCCGCCAATCTATATTTTGTATGTAGTGTATATACATTCGCACACACAATATTTATTTATTTAACGCATGCATCTCAGGTAACATTTAAATCTTTGCTTTCACAAATAAAGATCGTTCCAGTTTTTAATTGATGAAATATGCAGCACATTTGGCTTTTCTTACCTCCTCCAGTTGCATTTAATCCCATTTATAGATTTCTACACTGGAATAAATGTAAATGTAAATAAGTCATATTTTCTTAAAAAAAGTGCATTTTTTCTTGAATTGAGGTGACAATTTACATTTAAAATAAGAAAAAAATAATTGCATTGTCTTATTTCAAGTACATATTGTCTAATAATCTTATTTTAAGAGTAAAAATCCTCTTTCCATTGGCAGATCATCTTATTTTCCTACTCAAATTAAAGGTAAATATACTTCATTTTTAATAATTTCAAGATCATTTTTGCAGAGTGTGTGATTTCTACTTGCTTAAACTGGACCACAAAATGTTCTGGTCAAAATCTTACTCAAGCATTTAATGCTGTATAGAAGGATTGTCTAACTATTCCCGTCCAGCAGTGCTGCAGCCGCGGACGTGCCGTTTACTCACATCAGCTAATTTCCATCGATCCGCTGTTCATTTTATGTTGATCTAACAAATATAGGGAACAAACCATTGAGAGAAACTGTTTTTTGGCTCCATCAGAGCGCTTTAAGCCATGCCCGCCTTTCCTTACAACATAAAAAACAATATTTGTGGAAAAAGATGTAGGGAGCTGTCGCTTACTGTTCCATTATTAGGTCCTTTAAAACCATTTGACTCTGCAGTCGCTTTTTTTTTTCTTTAACCGATTACAAAAAGGCAAAAATGAAGCAAATGTTTCTGACATTCAGCTGCTAGGACAACGTTCACCTAAAGGTGGCAGTAGAGAGGTGAGTTTACCATTGCTTGCTCCTTCATCTGAGTAAAGATGAGGGAGTCAACTCTTGTGAGTCTTAGTGGAGTTTTTGGGGCGTTGACGTTGGTCATCATTGTGTTCCTTCTCCCAGGAAAAGCTTTTTTAAGGATGACCTCTGTCTAAAATGGAAAAATGTGAGACAATGGTGAAAAACTATAATAAAAGCTTAAAATTGAAAATACAATATAAAATCACCTACCTTTTTCCTCTCCTTTTCCAAACTCCTACACTGCTGGTAACACTCATCCAGGTAGAAGTGAATCTGGAAAGCAGGTCCTCCTTCATTCATCATCTGTGAAGCTGTACCAGCTGAGGCCACGCCATGATAGGCGCTCTCATCTCTGTGGTCCTTCATGTCACTGATGAAGGAGTTGAATGCTGCAGCGTCATTCGTGGATCCCATTCCATTCATATTAATGTGAGGAGCATGGCTAGAGCTAAGGTTGGGGTTCATGATCATATTGGAGTATCTCCTGATGTCGTTTAGAGAACATGGAAGAGAAGTCAACTGCTGGACATTCCCCGCACCAATCAGGAGGTTTTCTCTGGCGCGTCTCTGAGACTGCATGTTCCCCTGGAAACCAAAGAATGGATTTTGCGAGAAGCGTTGTTTGTCTCTCTCTGCCATGTGCCTCCTGCTGAAGCCTTCTCCAGTGAATCCGCTGGTTTCCATCATCTTGTATTCTTTCTCCATCTGTGACCTGATCTTCTGGCTCTGTCTGGTGTGATGTTTTGAAAACTGGTTCATGCTTGGCTTATGATTCACTATTGGCTTGCTTTGGCGTAGGTTTGGGATGCTCCTATTTGCTGGGAATGCCTTCAGTTTCAGGAAGTATTCCCTGTGGTCAGAACTGAACTCGGGGGGATCTTGCAAATCATCAAATTGAAAGTTTGGTTCTCTAACTTCTCCGTTCTGCATCGGCTCCAAGTGGCGTGTGAGCATGTCCATAGTGGGTTGGGGCGTGTTTGGAAAGTCTTCCAAACAGCTGCTGTCATGATCCGACGGCATGAATGACTGAAAACTGCTGACCAGTTGGTTCATGTCTTCTGGTACATGGTGCTCATTAAAGAATGGATTTATCTTATTTTGTGTGTAGAGGTCATCTGGTGAGTCTTCAAGGGACAAATTAATTGCATCATTTTGAGGTCTGAAGATGTCACTAAGAACAGGGAAATTCTTCAAAGGAGCATCGTTCCCTCTGCCGGTATAAGGCGGCATGCTGGGGGGCTTATACTGCTGCAGCTGGGACAGGTCAGCAGCTACTTTGTTGGTCGTCAGTAGACCTGGTGGCAGCTTTTGAGGGCGAATGGAATAATTCCCTGCATCAGGTAAGTTGAAAGGCCACTGCTGATTGGCAGCTGGACCTCTGGGAAGATAACTCAACTCATGAACGTCTTTATCACCTAATTGTTGCTGTCTTTTCTTGGAGGTGTCATGGAGCTGATGGTTTGAAATAAAGGAAGAGTTGTTGAATGTTTTTGGTTCTGGTGGGAAATACTGCAGCAGCTCTTCTTTCAGCGTCTTCGGAGACCAAACAGGGTTCCAAGTGGGAAGGCTTAAAAAAAGATTTGTCAGTTTTTCAGTCAGTACCGCACTAATAGATGTCCTGAGTCAACTAGTTCTTTACATAAACCCCCAGTGAAAAATGAAAACACTGAATTACCTCTGACTGTAGAAGCTATCCTGTGAGTCCGCTTCGTCCAATATATTTGAAACAAGACCCTGCAGATCGGCCTCACCGTCACAGTTGGCATCAGTCAATGTCCTTCAAGGGGAAAGAGTGGATTTTCATTGTATAACTAACTGTTCTGTAATTATTAGGCATTTTTCTTTAAACACGAAAATTCCTAAACTGCAAAAAATGTAAATATAATTTAATGTATCTTAAAACAAGTGCATTTTTTTCTCTCGAATTAAGCAGTATGTGAGACACTGCGATGATGCAACAAGACAATATACATTTAAAATAAGGAAAAGCAATTGCATGGCCCTATTTCAAGTGCATATTACCTTACTGTCTTATTTTAAGGGTAAAATGCTAATTCCATTGGCAGAAAATCTTATTTTCCTACTCAAATAAACACCTTTTTAAAGAACCTTTTACTCATTTTTGCAGTGTAAACTAACCTACACTGGAAAAACTAACTATAAATAAAAAAATATTTCTTTTACCTCCTCAATCCAAGAACAAATGCACTTATTTTAAGAAAAAATTACTTATCTAGATTTCGATAAGTCATGAAAATACAAATTCAGAACATTTAAATAGATTCCACGTGGATAAACCACTGTTCTTTTGAAAAAATAAAATTACTTAAATGAATTCAGTATCTTGAATTGATGAAGATGTTGATGTGATTATTTTGCCAGACGTCAAAGACAAATGTCCATCCCAAAACATGATGGACAACAAAGTTATCTGTACTTAATGTCTATCCATAGTAATACCTGTTTTTAATGGCGTTCTGGGTGTAACTGACTTCATACGGATCATCCTGAAGCCCCTGAGACCAGGAAACATCCCTGCGCTCCAAATGTGATGAAACTGGGTTGTTGACGAAGGGGACTGGCATGCAACCACTTTTTCCATTCATACCAACACTGGTCTAAAAGAGAGAGAGAGAGAGGTTAGATTCAACATTAACCCTCCATGGTGTGGAAGTTTGGAAATTATATCTTACATTTGCAAAGCTATAATTTGAATGGCCTATCCAGAAATTCTATTAATCCCTCTGTGTGCAAAACGGATAAATTCTGAAGCATTATTTTGTTTTTTATGGCAGAGCAATGCAATACTGCCTTCCTACTTTCACATTAAATGATATTAAAAATTGGAATATTTCTATTTCTTTATGTCTAGTATTAACATGTAGCAGCCACTGTGCAACAGGATTCCATATTTCATTTTAATATATATATACAAAAATCCTCTTCAAAGGTCTTTTTGTTTTACATTTGTTAACAACAGATGTGAAACAAATGAAAGGTCTGTGCCAAGTACAACTTAATAATAAGTGCAACTGTTCTTGGCCAATGGAACAAGACCATTTACACTTAAAATAAGAAAACACAACTGCATAGTCTTATTTCAAGTGCTTATGATCTAAATATCTTATTTTAAGAGTAAAAATACTCATTCCATTGGCAAACTATCTCACTTACCTACTCAGATTTAAGGTATATGCATTTAATTTAAGAAATTTGTACTTATTTCTATACCATTTTTTCCAGTGTCTGAATGTCGGTTTTGCAATTTTGAATATGTGGCTTTTTGTGCTTTCCAGGTTTTATATTTGCTTTAAAATTATCCTTTTAATTAGCTGTTGTCACTTGTTTCAACTGCAGGTAAGGGCACACAGAACTTCGATTATAAAAAAAAAATCAAACTAATCAATTAAGAGAGACCACAGGTCCATTAAAATAATTGGTTTATCATTTAAAGAGCATTTATTTCAGTAATTCAGTTCCAATAGTCAAATTCGGTGATAACGGCTCACAGACTAGGGCTGCGACTAACAATTATTTAGCAAATTGATAATCCATCGATCATTTTTTTCGATTAATAATCAAATAGCAAAATGTTAGCTGCGATTAGTCGACCGAATCGACATAAATCAATGGTGAAAATTCCTTGACAGATTTTTTTCCGTCAATGGCTATTTTTGTCAGCCTGTTTACTGTATAGCCTATTTATTTTGGTCTGAGCAAATCTGAGCTCATCTGAGTTAAGGTAATTCTGCTCCACAGCACTAGTTCTGCTGTGATCACATCGCTAGAAGATTAGCTCCCTTTTCCTCCCCGTCACGAGATTTTGTTACTGTTGGTTTTGGTGTGAGTGTGATACGAAAATGGCAGCGGCGGGTGAGTCTGAAATGAGGAAGGAGGCATCCGCTAGAAGACCAAAAGTATCCAAACTATAGGAATACTTTTGGGCAGCTGGTGATAAGAGTGGAAACTAGCCACTGGGTCAAATGTTGGTCAAGTTGCTTTGACGCTTCTACGCTCTGGATGCTCTGTGCTCTGGTTGTTTATCTGCTCTGTTCTGTAGCTTCAAGCTAAAGAGCAGTCTGGCTTTACTTACTTTACGAATTGAGAAAATAGTTTTAGCGCATTTTTAAGAGAGAAAGTCCACCTCCAAACAGCATCTCTGCAGTCAGTTCATTAGGTTTATGATCCTAATAAAAGATGCAGTTCTTTTCCGGAGTGTCAGACCTCCAGCATACCGCCTAGAGGCAGCTGGAAATCCCAGCTAAAAAGCTCTCTGCAGCTGCCAGCCTGAGGGGGATTCCCCTCTGCTGTTTGTAGAGGCTGGAAGTAATTAGAAAGGTTTGTGGTAAAACTGCAATTTCCAGAATATACAATCGATTATATTTGGTTGGTAGGTTTTAACATTTGTGACCCTGCCTACCCAGCTAAAGTCATTTTTTGGTGAATCTCAACTTAATGTATAAAACCATTCTACACAATGTTAAGAATGTATTCTGAAAAATTCAGATTGATATCTCTAAAATTCACAGAGTAGGGCCATATCAAAGATTGTGCTGCATACGGGTTCAGAAAAACTGACTTTTGAGAAATTCCAATGTAAAGATTTGGAACTCAAAATTCTAAACTAAAAATACTTTCAACACTGATGCATCTTGGAATCACAATTATCCTGGCAGTGTGTCATACACCAAATTCAAGTTTAGATTCTGCTTTTTCAAGTAATATCCAACAGATGTATATAAAAATGTTCATGTTTAATAAAAATGGATCTATTTAGTATGATGATCATGGCGAAAAAGCATACAAATTACACTAAATGAATGTCTAGGTGGTACCAGATGAAGCTGATTATGTAAGCAGTTGCATAACACAATACCATGATGTTTCTATCAGATCATGTAGTCATGTTATTTCATTATTATTATTATTATTATTATTATTATTATTAGTAGTAGTTGTCAAGTGATTTGATCTTTGCTGTGCTATTCCCACACTTGAAGGGTTGTATTAAGCTGAACATTAAACTGGATTCCACTCAATGACCAAACTGTTGTTTCATTTTTCCCTTTTTTATTCTTCTTCTTGTGTTGTTTACAGGTTTACAGAATCATTTAATTAAGCAGGTGAAAAACCTTTGAAAGAAATGAAACCAAACAAAGCATTTACCATATAGCAAATTGTAATAGTTCTGAGAAATGCAACATTAAATATATTTATGAAAATAGACTATGTTTTTAACTTTAAATTAAGACCATTTAGTTTTTAATTATCATAAAAAATGCATCAAAAAACGTATTAACGCATTTTAACCGAAGCAGATTTATGGAGGTTATTTAACTCCATAGATTACATGAATTCTTAAATAGCAATAATAAATAACCAGTGAGTGATTTTTAGTTTGTTTTAAATATGCATAACATAGACTATGAAATTTCATTTTAACTGTTAGAAGTCTATTTTAATCACACACAGAAGAAAGATGCAAAAATTACCCCGTGCAACAGTTTGACAAACACATTAATTTGGATTGTTCAACCGCAATGTTAAATCACTGAAAAAAAAAGTTACACCAGCATTTTTTCCAACCAAATAAAGCAAGCAAGCAAGACTTACAAGCCAAAATTTTCATGACGTACCGTGTGAGTATTTATAAGCTTAAAACTACAAACAAACATTTCCCGCACATCTCAACGCCTCATCAGCGCGGCGCATACATTCTTTTCACAACAGAAATGCAAGCTTACCGGCTGTCTGTTCAGTCCTTTGCTTCCTTAATACACATTTTGCACAGCTTCTTCCACTGCCCGAGTAAACGGGGGCTTTTTATTTTCATGCTGCGATCCTCTGCTTGAACTAGGAAGTTTGTCTCACCTTTTGATTGACTGATTGATTGCACACAGGTAAACTGCGCGCTCACGCTTAAACAGCTGATGTAAACAAAAGGGGCGTTCGCCGCAACAGTAGTTGGTTTATAAAATCACAAAATACGCTATTTATCATGTTAGAAATTGACTTTTAAACAAGCCATCCATAAACCTCAGTACTTAATATATCATTTACAGCAATAATCTCATATAGCACAATTTTGACATTTTTATCGATATGACAGCTTTGACGACCTTTATTGAATAATTAGACGTTGCGACTTTAGCCGGGTTCTCATGGGCGGGGTCACATTTTTAGTTAATTTGGGTATTTATAAACTTTTTCGTCATAGTTTATAACAATTGTTTCAATGCAGCAATAATGATCAGAGCTCCCTCTCGTTTTCTTCTTTTTTCTGTTAATCGCTGAACAACGCTCTGCAAGCACAGTTATAGTTATTTCTAGAGAGCACCAGACTGAGACAGAGGGTTTATCTGATGAGCACTCCTACACACAGACAGTACAAATGTAGCTTTTTTTTAAACTTGCCATAACCATCCAGTGGCTGCTCTGCCAATCCCCAACAGTGGGATTTTTTTTTTATTAGTTGTTAAGATTAGTTAAGAACTAATTCAATTAACTAATTAATTAGCGTAAACATTAGTCGTTAAAAAAATTAGTGGTTAGTGGAACCTCTAAAAAGTTTTTTTCAAGAAGATTTTTCATGAAACTTAAAATTTTCCACTTGAGGAGTTCTGGATAGAGCTTTTTTTTATCTTAAATGCAAAAGGTTTATATATTTTCTTACAATTGTGGTATAATTACTGTTCTAAGTAGGTCGCTCTGTCAGCTAAAGGTACGTTTTAGAGTCTCTGTACTCCAGTTAACATTAATCAATTACTAAAATAGTTGATGATTTTTTCAAAAATTGATTAATCACGATTAATCACCATTAGGTGTTTCAGCCCTATTACAGACCTGATTCAAAGTTATTTTTTTCAGAAAAAGTAGGATATCCTATGAAATAGCATTGTTTAGAAACTATGACTATATACATTAGTCACTGTAAACCGCGAGAACGCAACAATATTGATGTAAAATTTTAGTCGAAGGATAACAGCAGCCTAGAGTGGATTGAGATGCCAAAACAATTGAGAGATTTAATATTGCATGGACTGACACTGTGATGACAAAACTTTAGGGTTTATACAGGAATGAGTTACTCTAATTTAATGCTTTTAATTGCTCTTTTAATGCTCTTAGAAATAATTTTAATGCCATGAACAATTACCCATGACTCTCATATATATATATATATATATATATATATATAAAAAACACAGCAAATCCTTTGTCATCTTTACTGTCCACAGGTTGCAGCCATGTCCCGAATTCCTCGTTTTCCAGCCACTTTAGTTGAAATTAGCATTTTCCCATTCTCTAGCTTTTTCTCCACATCGAGCTTCATTTCCGAACATACGGCTTTACGCTCATTTACGATCACAAATTTAATGATTTTTAATGATTTTCAATGACCCACGGAAACCCTGAACTTGCCTTTCTTAAAGTCATTCAGCTCCTTCATCCTCAGGAGATCCAAATCATGGCTTTTTATTATCATTGGATCAAAACTAAGACAAAAAAAACAAAAAAACATTAAACACCTTATCTCGGCATGTGTTGTATCGAGATCATGTGTTTAATGGATCTTAAAATGCACATCAATATGGCTCTTTATCACAGAAATGATGAAGAGCTTGCTAAGCTTTGGAAAAATAGATATTTTAACAAATGCTGGTTAGTAGGCTGGTTACTATTTTACATATATGACTAGGGCTGGGTACCGAACTTCGGTTCTTTTATGGTACCGACCGAAATGCTTCGGTTCTACCGAGTATCGAAACATGCCTCGTCTTTCGGTACCAAGTTTCGGTGATTGGCTGTAACACTTAACGTGATTGCGTCATCCAGGAAAAATACACAGGTGGTCACGCCTACAGCCAGGGTTGATGTGTATCTGTTGTGAACTGGTTGTGAGCGTCGCGGAACTCCTTTAAAATGCCCCCCAGGTCAAAAGTGCGGCTTCACTTTATTAAGACTGATGCTAATAGTGCGCAATGCAATACATCGCGCACGTAAACAATTTAAGAGCAGAAAGTTGCTCGGTGTTTGACTGCAAGAAGAGCGGACCGCAGCCAGCGCGACCATCCTCCTCTCAGCAGCCCGTGGGAAGAGCAATGCCAGAGCGGAGTAATGCTGTAATAATGTAATAATGCTGCAATTTCAAACTGGACGCAGCAGGAGAAGCAAAATCACGTCTGCTGCTTCCTTTTTTGCTGCTTGTACCAGCTTCTGACGCGCGGCTGAAGAAGCTTTGCTGCTCTGGCTGCGCGGTGCAAAAGTGGCTCTGATGCGCGTTGGGCGGAGCTACTCTATCCTTTATTTGCCTTGCAGCTATATTTGCTGTGATCAGTGGGAATAAAGTAGTTTTATTATGTTTTTAAGTGGGAAAATCCACCTGAAAACTTAATCAGTGCAGTCAGTTCATCCTGCCTTCCAATATTCTTTCTGTCGGAGCCGCTCAGACCCCCACATACCAGCGGTGCGCTGTTAGTAGGATCCCATTCAACGGGCTTGTTTGTCAGACATGGTAATTTTTCTAAAGGAAAACTGCTAAGTAAAAAGGTCCTCACAATGTTACAGTGAATATTAGACACTGATTATTTTTTTTTATGTAAGAGGAAAAATGTAAATGGAAAAATCAGAGCTTAAAATAAAACTCAAGATTTGTACTTTTTTATGTTGAGTAATTTTCTTTTTCTTCGAATTGATATTATAAAACTGGTATTGAAAAAAGTATTGTTCAGGAACCGGTATCGAAGTGAAGGTATCGGTATTGGTACCGGTACCGAAAATTTTTGAACAATACCCAGCCCTATATATGACTGTGTTATGAATGTGTGTAATTAATTTTCTTTTTCTTCGAATTGATATTATAAAACTGGTATCGAAAAAAGTATCGTTCAGGAACCGGTATCGAAGTGAAGGTATCGGTATTGGTACCGGTACCGAAAATTTTTGAACAATACCCAGCCCTATATATGACTGTGTTATGAATGTGTGTAATTAATTTTCTTTTTCTTCGAATTGATATTATAAAACTGGTATCGAAAAAAGTATCGTTCAGGAACCGGTATCGAAGTGAAGGTATCGGTATTGGTACCGGTACCGAAAATTTTTGAACAATACCCAGCCCTATATATGACTGTGTTATGAATGTGTGTAATTAATTTAAAAATCAATTGATTAAATCTTAAAATTGTGGTCATTATTTCATTAAACCATGTCACATGTGAACCTTTCATGATCTGGTATAGAGACAGATCAGGAACAGACTTTTTGAGCGTGTATTAAAGAGATAAAATAACAAATATGAGGGAAATAAAGTCCTAGGACAATAAAGTAAAAAAGGAAAGACAAAAGTGGTAACATTATGAGAAAAAGGTCAGATTATGTGAATTAAAGGGGAACATTTCCAGAATAGTCACAGTTTGCAGATTTTTGTTCACTCCTTGACACTAATCTCTATTCATTCACTGGATTGCTCATAGGCCGTTGGTAGAATGTAAACATTACGTGTGCTACAGAATTGAACAACAAAATCTACTCCTTTTCATTGGGGGGGAGGCTTTAGTATTTTAAAACAAAGATAAAGTCATCACTTTACTGTAATTTATGGTAAAAAAATAATCACATCGCATAGTCAGAATGAAAATCATGATATCTATAAATCATTTAATATAACATTTTATATAAATCCATCACAACAAATTGAGTGTGTTAATGGAGCATAATAATACTGTAGTCAGATATTAAGAATATTACACACACTATCCGATGATGTGAGAAAATTGCTAAATTGAGGATGTACATGTAATATATGTGTATTGATTATATCGTAATTACTTTATATCACAGGCAGTTTTATGACACCACTCTGTGAGAATGGGGAGTACCAAGATGGCGGCAGGAGACTTCAGTTTTTTGCCTATCAGCAATCCAGAAAATAAATATAGATCAGTGGTCCTGGAGTAATAGGGACAGGTTGTATTCTTTTTTATTCTTTATGAGCATATGGTCAGGAGAATGAAGCCTTATTGATACATAAACTCGTAATATTACAAAAATAAAAAATGTTACAATTATAAAGTATACTCTAAGATTAAAGCCGCTCTGATACTGTTTAAGTATTTAAGCAGATTTGCCACATTCAACATGGCGGACACTCTGACCGCATAAAACCAAGCATCTACATACATAATGTCTATGATTGTAGACCTAATAATTAGTGAAATATTAATAAAATATACTGACTGAAGCTCTTCAACCCCTAAAATAAATGTAACAAATAAAACACTTTTTTTATTCATTGAAGACTACCTAAGATTAATTAAAGAAAATCAAACAATGATTTTAATGATGCAGGGAAATATAAAATAGTATTTTAATTTGTAGTTTTATAACAGGTGGTAGTTGGAAAGAAGGATTTTGGTAAGTACTTTGTTATAAGGAAAAAAAACGTGTGTATAAAGAACTTATGATCCGGTCGAAATAGTTTAAGACCTACTGAATACAATCGAATTTAGTTCAAGATATCCGATGTAGGAACAATGACACAATATATAAAACGGTGAGAATGTGCACTTACGGGACGCTGGGATGTTTCAGAGAGAGATTTGGCAGCTGTGGTCTGATGTCCCTCAGACGCCATTTTACTCCAGAGCGATTCTTCAGTACATCCCTACAGTTCGCTGTGAGCTACCAAAAAATAAAAACGCAACAATTTTACTGTAAAAATCATTTATACCAAGGTAAAGACACAGAAATAATTTTACAAAATCAATATCTAACAATTAGCGAACCAAATTGATACTTTTGCGATATTTAAGCCGTTAAAATGAGTCTAAGCTAGTAAAGTCTGGTGACACTTTAGCTAGGTGTCTTTATTAAAACCAGCAGACTCGCATTTCTACAGTGATAAACGTTAAACCACTTTACTCACCTCAAGCGTCAAACATCGATAAAAATCGATTATTATATTAAGTTTATGAAAAATTATGAAAAAAAAGTTAAAAGTCTGCCGAATTCCTTCGACTAGACCTCTTATGCTCCACCCAGGATGACCTCATTTTCTCCAACACTGAAAGCTTATTGGCTGAAAAAATCTTTTTCGTAGCAAATCATCAAAGACGGCAGATCTAGCAGCATAGCAACATGGAATACCTGCTGCTCCACTGGGCTTTAGAAAATGCGCAGGTGGTCCAATAATGTCCACCTACATTAATAATTTAATAATTGTATTAATAATGCCATGATAATAGAATATAATAGAACAGAATAGAACAGAACTGAATAGAATAGAATAGAATAGAAAAGAACAGAAAATAAAATAATAGAATAGAATAGAATCAAATAGAATAGAGCAGAAAAGAATGGACAAGAATAGAACGGAATAGAAACGAATAGAATAGAACATAGTAGACAAGAATAGAATGGAATAAAATAAAAACAGAATACAAAATAAAAAAGAATAGAATGGAATAGAACAGAGCATAATAGAATGAAATAAAACAGAATAGAATATAAGAGAATATAATAGAACAGAAAAGAAAATAATAGAATAGAATAGAAAAAACAATAGACAAGAATAGAATAGAAAAAACAATAGACAAGAATAGAATAGAAAAGAAAACAATAGACAAGAATAGAATGGAATAGAAAAGAATATAATAGAAAAGAGTAGATAAGAATAGAATGGAATTAAATAAAACAGAATAAAAAAGAAAAGAATAGAATAGAATGGAATAGAACAGAATAGAATAGTATGGAATAGAACAGAAGAGAATATAATAGAACAGAAAAGAACATAATAGAATAGAATACAAAAGAATAGAATAGAATAGAATAGAATAGAAAATAAAACAAAAGACAAGAATAGAATAGAAAAGAAAAGAATAGACAGGAATGGAATAGAATAGAAAATAATAAAATAGAATAGAAAATATTAGACAACAATAGAATGGAATAGAATAAAGAATACAAAAGAAAAGAATAGACGAGAATAGAATAGAATTGAAAAGAAAAGAATAGACAAGAATAGAATGGAATAGAATAAAAAATAATAGAAAAGAATAAAATAGAATAGAATAGAAACTCCTTTTAATCTCCCACAGTGTGGAAATTCTGGCGTTTACAGCAGCAAAAAGATTATTGAAAAAACAGTGACACAAATGTGGAACTTCTAATAACATAATAGTGAAGAGTTAGAAAAATAACCTTTTAAAGATCTGGTATAGACACAGATTAGGAACGGGGGGAGTATTAAAAACATAAAGTCACTAATTTGAGGGGAAAAAAGTCCTAGGACAATAAAGTAAAAAAAAAAAAAAAAGTAATATTATGAGAAAAATGTCATATTATGAGAATTAACGCAGAACATTTCCAGAATAGTCATGGTTGGCAGAACTATTTCAGTCCTCGAATAATAGGACCATGTTTGATTCTTTTAATTATGTTTATTCTTTACGACAATAAAGTCAGGAGAATGAAGCCAAACAAATACGTAAATAAAATTGTTTTAGGTGGTAAAATAATGTCCACCTGAAGTTCAGTTGTTGCTTTCATAATGCCCTAATAATATAATACATTACATCATATGTCATTGTTTATGTTAGTAGGCAAATTTAACAGATAATGGATTTTCTTTTTTCAATTTAGAATGGCTATTTTAGTTAAGCTGCATCAGGAAATCAATATGTTAACATTTAATCAGAATTTAACTCAGTAATTTAGTGGCCTAATTTATTATTATCATTGAGTGAGTCTTATTTACAGGGAAATATGGCTTAGTGAGATCAGCATGTCCGGTATGTAAAAGCATCACTGGTTGTGAATCAATAAAATCTGCTGGTGTGCAAAATGGAGCAGACAACGGGTGGAAATGGGAGGCAATTAGTAAGACAACTTCAGGTGGCGACGACAGAGGATATTCCTCTATCCTCATCATTTCTGGCTAAAATTCTGGTCATTTTTTTGTATTTTTTCCCATGCTCTCACCCATAGCAGTAGAGTGAGGCAGTGGCTATAGCCCAAGGAGGATGCTCAAAGTGTCCAATTCATCTAAAATGGCAAGCTGTGGCAAGAAGGCTAGCTGAGTCCAGAGCATTGAGGAGATACCGGAGACATGGAGGAGGTCATAGGAGGGCAATTTAGCAGCAGGACTGCTACTCCCTTCTTTTTGCATGGTGGAAGAGGAGAAGGCCACTGCACAAATGGTGTGGGGAGGCATTCCTTTGGAGCACAGTACTCCATGTAGCCAGAGTTTCCACTGAAGTTGGATCAAGATGTAATGTGTTTTTGTTTTGTTTTTTTACTTTTATTTTGAGTTTAATTCCAAATCCATACTCCATAATCATGGGAAAAGTTTACAATTAATTCTTTTTTGTGTGTGTCCTGTCTTGCCAATATAGCTCTGGGAATGGATGTCCCAGAGCTAGATGATAGCCAAACAACTTGCTTTCACAAGCAGACCATTAGGACTGTTGCCATAAGGCTCCACTTGGTCCTTGTAAACTTTACTGAAAGATATTTTGCGATTAAAATCAAATACAATGGAGACAGAAAGGGAGTCGAAAAAGAAAGAGCGTATAAGAACTAAGGGGAGAGAGAAAGAGATAGAGACACAAAGAGAGAAATAAAACAAAACGGTAAAAATAGACAAACTTCTATGAGACGAGAGGGGGAAAAAAAGAGAACAAACCAAGAAAAAGCTTCAAGGGCAGCAGGTATCCTTTAAATATACGTGTGTGAAAGGCACAACCTATGCTGATTACAGAATATTATTCAGGATGGTGTATATCTATATTTAGTGTCAGCGTGTATTGGTGAACACGTGGAACAAAACTCCTGTGGAATGTATGCTTGTGCATGCTCGTGCTTAAAGGATTTAATTCAATTTAAATCACTTTACTGATGGAAAAGGGAAATTAAATAAAACTGAATTAGATAAAATGTGTTTTTAATTTGAAAAATACCCTTTATTTAACTGTCTTTATTCAATGTATCCCCCCAGGTTGGCATGAAGCAGCCAGGGCCATACGCAGGGCCCAAAAAATACTGAGGTCCAGAGTGAGAACATCTAGTTACCATAGCAACGGTGCATGTTGATTTATGATGAATAAACAGCTACTTATTTTATTAGATAGTTGCGCTAGTTTTCGCTCTTAAAATATAAAACACCTCACAGTTTAGTTGGAGACCAAGATCATCGTCTTTGTCGAGTATATTTCTGTTTTGTGTTGCAAAGCCATGTTAAACAGTATACGGATTGTTACATAATGTATGCATTGCTGTGTGATAATGAGCATGCACAAAATAAATGTGAGAAGTTCTCCGACTAAGAAGAGACAATTTCCTGTATGAAGCCATAAGTAGACAATAGTAAACCATCTTGGCGACTGCATTCATGATAGACTGCTGCAGAAATGGCTAATGCAGTCCTACAGTCACTTTCACTGTAATCTATTTTAGTTTATATTAAAATTTAAGCAGTAAATAAATTAATAGAATACAGAGTAAACAACCTCAGTGTCCTCAATGGTAGTTTCTGCCCTGGATGCTGCTAACCTGTTTCACCATGGGGAACATTTTGGTCTCATCTAGACAGAACATCTTCCATATGCTTTACGTTTTACTTTGAAAAGAAATAATAAAATGACTCAACCTGAGCACTATGAAGGTTCGACTTATGAAGTAAACTGTGGTGAGATTCTCCCAACTGAGCTATGAATCTCAGCAGCTCCTCTAAAGTTACTGTCCTCGCTGTCTATTCTTAAACCCGGTAGGTTTGCAGAAGTGCCACGCTCTATGTTCAGGTAAAACAGTGTTGTGTGAGCCGTTCAAAACCATTAAATATTGCTTTATAACTTAACCCTGCTTTGAATTAATCAATAGTTTCCCTTATGTCCTTTCTGCCATAAATTTTATGATAGGATTTGTTCATTAATGACCATTAACAGACAACTAAAACATTGATGGAACCACTTTACTCATACTTAGATTTTATCGAGATATCAGGATACCTCTGAGGACATTTCTTTCCCCCAGTTTTATTTTAGGGTGACAGAGTGAAAGGGGCTAGATGCAAACGAATAGAGAACTTTTTAGAAGATGCTCTGGTCCTTCTTCATGAGTTTGGAGCAGCTGATCATCCAGAAATGTGGAGTCCAGGAACTTAAAGCTGTCCACACGCTCCACCGCCGTCCCCTTGTGGATGGATGTGGTTCGGCGTTCCTCCTGAAGTCCGTGATGATCTCCTTTGTTTTCACAGTGTTCAGCTGCAGGTTGTTTGTATTATAGCCAGATATGTGATAGAGTGTATGTGTTGGGACTATTAGATTTAAGTTGTTCAAGCATGCTTACTTTAACCAAAAGGAGAATAATAAAATGTATTATTAATAAGCTGATCTTTTTGTTACAAATAATGAAATGCATTTTTAAATATTTACTCCCTAATTTAATATCCCTAGTGATAAAAGGGAATCATTTTGGCAAAAAGCATCTTAATACTTTGCAGTCGGATGGTTACTTGGACATACGTGCTCTAGTGACAATTTGGACCAGATTTAATAGGGATTAGTTTTTAAAAGCCAACCGGCATACCTGCATGTACTGTCCAGACTTGACCTCTAGGTGGAAGCAGCTCTCTCCCTCTTGGTGGACTTGACAGCTGTATTAAAACTATGAAAAACTGAAAAGTACAAAGACTGCAAATTATGATCCTCAGACAGATAGCTGGTTTCCATTTCAGCTGTATCAGTGATTATTTTCCTCATTCACAAACAAGATTTACACATATCTTTTACAGACCAAGTCTGAAAGGTTTGATTGAAGGTTTGATTTTAGATCATTGATTAACTGTGTAGGTGAAGATTCTTAGTCATCTAGGTCATAGTCATTCCAAAAAAAGTAAAAAAAACAATCCACTGGACTTTGTTTCCAAGTTTGAAGACGTTTCGCTTCCCATCAAGGAACTTTTTTTTAACTCAAAGGATTGATTCACGTTGATTCACTGATTTTTACAGTATTGTTTGTGCTTTGAAACATGAAGGTTTCTTATAATTC